CGCTTGAAAAAATTCTGACTACATCGCGTCGTTTATATAGTATATACATGTATATATACGTATATATCAACAGTGTTACATATCCGAAATTTTGGAAATGCCGCGGCATCTTCCGCGGTAGTTGCTGGATCTCTTGCTGGAGACGTGGAATCTTATGCGGGGGATGGGTATCTCTCAGGATGTGGGTGCATCTCCATCGGGAGACGACCTCTCTCCAGAAGGAGATGCGGCATCTACGGTGTGAGATGCCGTGGAATCTCCAAAATTTCGGATATGTGACACTACTCATATATATATATATATGTTAATAATTTTGTTTTTGGTTAAAATCACCTATCAAGATATACGCAAAAAGAACAATTAGTGTATCTCAGTAATATTTTTCGACACTTTTGAAATTGAATATTATTAAACATATATCGTTTGTCGTTCGAAACATATAATTTAAGATCTTCAATATTTATTCAATAGTAGGAAAAGGATGCATTCATATATCTGCATTATTATTACTCATGTTGAATTGATCCAACCAATTTCTTTGAGTGCACATCTTGAAGACAATAGAGTTATTATTAGTTTCGTAAGTTTGATTCTTGAAAAAACTAAATGAGAAAACATCGGATTCACATCCGATTGTTACGTGTACTGCAAAAACTGAGTCGATTTATATATGTTGTGAATAATACTGAGAAAGAAATTTTTTTTTTGAAAAAATCCCTGTACCCCCTCAAGGATGGTCTGGTCAATAATGACAATTTTTTTGATACCTCAGCCATTTCTTGACGGATCCCTCTCATCTTTGAACTCGACTGAGATATTGATGAGATCATTCTGTGTACAAAATTTCATGACAATCGGATGAGTCTTGCAAGAGTTATCGTGTTAACGGCCGGACGGGCGCACTGACCGATTCTATTGTGTACTCAAAAAAAAAAAGTGACCACACAATGATATTCACTTTCCAATAAATTATAGATCGTCTTGATTCTTCATCTTATTGCTATTTTTGAATTATTCAAATTGAGTGGTCCTAGTGTATGTTCGAAAGTTATTTGAATTTTGATTGTCTTCATTTTTTTCCCGTTGTTGATGCACTCTTGAAAAAAATCATATGCAGGATAAAAATGGCAAATAGAAATGATTTCTTTAATCATCTATTTTGTATATTTTAGGTAATGCATGTATTCAAGCTTACCATCATATAATATCGATTCTTTTATTATATTGGATAATTTCATTTATTACTACAGTTAATATATATATATATGTATCTTTGGGCTTCAGACAAATATTCAAAAATAAAAAGCTCACATTCGAAGAAAAGTGTAATAGAGTTTCAACAATGAGCAAGAATGTGCATAATCTGATGAAAATAATATTGATACAGCTGTTTTTCTAGTAGTCCAGAATTTAATTCTAAATAATGTATCAATATCTTGACAATTCTATTCGCCTATCAAATTTGTTAAGTTAACATATAACTGATGCTTTGTCAATCACATCAAATTTAACAAGTGATTTTTCTTTCTTGATCAAATATCACCACTCTTTTGACATTTATTTTAATAATTATTTTTCTTTTTCAATTAGAAAACTCTCCATTAGCAACTGTCATAGGCATACAAAAATAATTGCGTGCAACCCGTCGAAAGAATCTTTTACTTCGTGAATGCTGTTGATAAACACAATTATTATTTTTTGCATTTTCTTTCAATCGATCATATTGAAGTATAACTGATAATTCATCGTCTTCGTGCTTTTTCTGTTTATCATAAGAAGATTGCTGTTCTTGATAGTGATGACGTTTTCGTTCATGGATGTCCTTCATTTTCGTATGTGCGCTTTTATAAGCAACTGAAGGATGACGAAGTCGTGAATGATGATCGTTTAGCATATATTTCTTTCTTTGCTTCGCTGGCGAAGGTGATGGTAAAGGTCGTTCAAGTAAATTGAATAAATCACAATAAACACCATTGTCTTCAGGTTGTTGATGAATTCGACGAGGTGACCATAGAGAGGGAGACTCTGATGAATCCGATGATAAGGGAGATGCTTGACATGGATACGTAGCATAATAATTTGAAGAGTAGGTAATAATTAAATCTTCCAATCGCTGGCGACGTCGCGGTACGGTTGGTGGTGGTATTTGATCATGATTAGGTAATGGAGAACAAGTGTGATGATTTATAGTACTAGTATAATCTGGATGATTGAAAAGGAATGAAGAACAAGTAGAATCATTAGTAGGACATGATAGCCGGCAGTGCATGTTGAAGATCATGCATGCCGGCTAATATTGAGACCTGAAATAATAGTTAAGTAAAAATAACCCATCTTCATAGTATATCAATTCGACTTACATTCTTTTAGAGTTATCAATCGAGCGTTGCGAACAATGCGCAGCACCCTTGTGTCTTTTCTGTCTTGCTTGCGTTGTCTCTACTTTTTACTTACTAACTCACTGTGTACGTTTATGCATACACGTAATCAAGGCCAGCAATATTCCTGTTATCATTACATTGCTAGCTTGCACATTTTTCTTTTTTCTTGTCGTTTTTTTTGTCCTCGCATCTCCTATTCTCCATTTTTACGGTCATTGAACCTGCATATGAGACGATTACTAGTGCATGAAAAAAAGCGGAGATCAATAACCTTGCTTTATGTTGATGCCGTCGTCGTTTGTACGTAATCTTTTTTTTTTCTTGGTGTCTTCCATGAATATGAAGAAACGTAACCTATATTAGGTGCTTGACGAACGAGCAATCTTTATGTCTTTGCTAACTGATCAATTATCTAATAAGCAAAACGAATACAAAATGAGAAAAAAAAAGGAACGTTAGACCTGTAGATCTATTAACACTAACATTCTAAAGGCTAAATTATACGTATAAAATACGTTATTATCGATCGAGACAATTATATATTTTTTAAAACAAGACCGACTACGATTCAAAAAAATAAAATCATTTGAATCACACTCTCTCAAATGATGATTAGTTAGCAAATAAGAACATCATTTGCTCACTGAAATGTTCTCTTTTCAAAATCAAGAACGTACTTCACATGATATAAACATGAAGGACATAAAGTTTGATGAAGTCAGTCATCCTTATAGCCAATAAAAATACATGCCAAAAAATATACGATATCATGAACTTGCTTACAATATTTAAAAGAATGTATATATTTATTGTTGTTACATTTGGCCAAATCAACTATGACCTTTCTTGTTGAATAAAAGGCAGACGAATAATACAATCAAAAAAAAAAAGGTTTTATATTGACAGTTGATTTCTTCTTTTTTTAAGCTTCATTGATTAAGTATTACGCTAATAAAAATTTTCTTGATTAATCTTTTTCAAAGATCTATCATTCCACAAAAGAAAAATTTAATTAAATGGCCTTTGCTTTTTTGATGATCATCCTCCAATTTAAATTCATTGACAAACACATATGTAAATAACAAGACGACGAATGTTTGTAGTAGTAGACATTTGAACACACAAAAATGAGAGCAAACACAACAAGTACAATTGAGAAAAACAAAGAAAGTATGTGCGTGTCTATTTGTAAAATAGAAATAAACATAATGCAGATCGATTCTACTACCAATCTAGTCTCATATATATATATACAAAAGATGGAGAATGAGAGGAGAAAAAAGATTTTTCGAGAAAAACAGAATAGTCACTATTGACAAACAACATTTAGAAAAGGAGAAAAAGATTCTTAGACACATACCCACACACATACATACATACAAACAGATACGAATTCAGTATGTGACTTCATAGAGTGTAGCTTTTTTGTCACCTGAACCTGTTAAAATATATCGATCATCAGCTGATATGTCACAACACAGTACACTTGATGATTCTTTTGATTGAAATAAAAGAAGTCCAGTTGGCGTTCGACAACAATGAATATAATTATCTTTCCCAGCTGATATAAACCATTTACCTTGATGAGCAAATTTAAGAGCTAAAACACAACTTTCATGTAAGCTGAGTGTATATTTATCGTGACTTTTCTTCATCGATGGACTAGTTGCATTACTCATTGTTGATGATATATTAATTAATTCCACTGTTGATGATTCCATACCAACAGCAAGCCACTCACCCGTTGGGCAATAACCCAATGTGAAAATTTGTGAATCGAATTCATATGTTTGTAATGGTGCGTAATCGTTACGAAGGTCCCAACAACGAACTGTATTATCTAAGCCGCCTGTCCACATTGTACGACCATCCGGTGCTATATCAATACATGATGTGCCATCAGCTTACAAAGAAATTTTAGTTAATTCAAAATGAAGATTAAATATAAAAATTTCTTACTATGTCCAACAAAAGATTTAATTAATGATTGATTATGAATATCATAAATAGCAACTGAACCATCTGAGCAACAGCAGTAACAAAGTTTTGAATCTGGTGGACCAAGTGCCAATGCATAACAAGCAGGTGCATTCAATTTAAGTTCACCTTTAATTCTTGGTGATGTTGATGATGGTGGATGATTTGATGGTGACGATGCATTTGAATTCGGTGTCGATGAGCGAGTATTACTAGCTGAACCACCAGTAACAGCTGATAAATCACAAATTGAAATAATATTTGCTTCGCCACCAACAATCAGTGTACGATCATCGGAAAGCAATTTACAAAATCGTATATAACTATCATCATTAAGACATTTAAAATATGATAATGGAGTGCGAATAGTACCAGTTTGTTTAAGATCCCAAACTTTAACACAACCTTTACCACCCTAAGAAAAAAAAATAAATGAAAAATGTTTTCTCTTTAGTTATTCTATTCTTTTTTCCTGTCGTATATTTACAGTATAAATGCGTTTTGCTTGTTCACTTATTGTAACTGCACAAACAACTTCTCCATGCATTAAGGTAGCAAGTTCACGAGCTGACGTTGGTATATTAGGACCAGTTAATGCTTCAGGTGCCATATTTACAGGTGTTGTTACAGGATTTCCTTGTCCATCAGACGTAGTAAAATATGAATATGCCTGATTCATAAATTGATTATGATGATTATTTGATGCATGCTGTTGTTGTTGTTGTTGTTGCTGCTGTTGTTGTTGCTGCTGCTGTTGTTGTTGTTGACGCTGTACTGCAGCTACTGCTTGTGCTTGAGCTGCTGCTGCAGCCGCTGCTTGTGCTTGAGCCATCTGTTGAACATGCTGATGTTGTGCCGCCATAGCCATTGCTTGAGCAACTTCGGGTGATGCGAATGGATGTCCAAATGGACCAAATGGGTTCATTGCATTGGCATGATGTGGACCGAGAGCGCCAAAAGCAGCTGCCGCTGCCAATGCTTCAGGTGAAGAAAATGGACCTGGATTGAAACTAGAGAAAAAAAAATTGTACTCTCAAAATCTCGATATATATATATATATATATAATTAGAATTTTATCTTACCCAAATGCAGCTGATGGTGGTAAACGTGAACCTGCAAGACCTAATGGCCCGCCTGGTGTCATTTGAGATGCACCCATATTTGATGGGCCACCTCCTAGTGGAGTCATTCCTTTATTAGGTTGAGGAGTGTTTCGTTCTTTTTTTATTCCAGATGATGAACTACCACGTTGTGAACTATCTTTGTCCGACATAGGACTTCGATCGCGTCGACTTCTTGATGAACTTCCGCCACCATTTGATGCTGATACTGGTGGTGTTGCAGGTATTGATTCATGACCAGGCCCACCTGCTGAACCTGTTATAGTATCAGTATTTTCTGATTTAATACCGTTTGGTAAAAGAAGACCACTACCCATATGACTGCTACCATTAGTGTGCTTTTGATTTCCACCAACACTTGTATCGATAACTAAATCTGATTCACTACGTTCACCATCACTTTCAGCTGTTGATTGTTTTATTGGCTTTGACATATTGCCACTTGTACTCGGTGGCCGATGTTTAGATGATTTACCATTTGTTGACGAACGACTGCTACTATTTTTTCCTGCTAATAAATCGTTATTATTTCCTCTTGGTGATGATGCATTTTCTTTTGAAATCGATGAACCACTTTCGTCTTTGAGTCCCGGTGCATATTGAGAAGCTAAACTACTTAATACCGATGTATAGTTTAACATTCCTGGTGGAAGACCAGGGCCAGCATTTGGAAGACCTGGTGGACCGGGTAATTGTAAATGAGATGTTGAGCCAAGACCAGGAACACCACTTGACATTTGTGGCATTCCAGAACCAGGTGCTCCTGGATTCGAAGCAGTCGCAAGTGCAAGAGCCGTTGCTTGGGCATGAAATTGCTGTTGAATGACACTTCAATAAAAAAGAAAGAAGAGAAGAAAAAAAGACAGAAAAACTTTTGTCTTAATTACCTATTAAGATCGTTCATAGTAACTTGTTTTGCACGTTCCAATGCAGGTAATGCATGTGATTGTTGTTCGGGTGTTAAATAAGGAATGATTTGATGAAGTAATGCAATCAAGCGTTTTGTAATTTCTGTTTGTTTATGCATTTCGTAGGATAAACGATACGCCATTTCATAATAAAGACAGTATTGTCTTTGTACTTCATTTTTTTCAGCATTCAATTTTTCACATTCAATACGTAATTGTGCACGTTCACTTTGCATATGAGTGAATTCTTTCTCTAGTCGGTCACAAACATCGTTAACACTAAAGTCATAACTACCACCCGTGGTAGAACGATTATTACCATTACTGTTATTAAACATTTTCTATTCAATAGAAAAATAAAATAATACGAATTAAATTAATCTGAGCGAAGACAAGAAAAAATAATTACAATGTTTACTTTTAGATCATACTTGTTTTGTTCTATTTTGATATATTTTGTATAAAAAAAGAATCTACTTTATCTAGAATGCCAGATAAGAAAACAAAAGAGTCATTCATTCATCAATCAACATATAATGCGCCCGTCCGTATCGGCGAACTAAGCAATCGTACAGCAGCTGACAGTAGCCATACTTATGAATTAATCAATGTGTGACAGAGGAGGATTTAATTCTAAACAAATCATAATGCATAAATGATTTATAAGAAAAAAATTTCATTGGGTTATTTTACTCACCATTCAGGAAACAATCAAAATTATCTATTAAGAAAATCAGTAAAAAGTTAATTGATAAGTGAAATTGTTTTTGAGTGATGGCCAACGGTGAAGAAACTATCGAAACAACAAGATTGTAAGGAAAATGTTACTTGAAATTATTTGATATATGAGAAAATAAGATTCAATATATAGAGAGAGAAACTTGTATAGTTGGAATTTTGGTAAATTAACACGAATACAATCCGAACAGTTACTTATCGATGAACCTAGTGGAACGTTTCTCATACGTGAAAGTGAACATTATCCAGGAGATTTAACATTATCTATTAATGATGACAATAAAATTCAACATTATAGAATTGTATTTGATTCTATAAATGGAACTTTTACAATTGACGATGAAATCTTTTTCACTGATCTTTATCTACTGGTCAAGGTTTAATGATTAAACTAATCTTTTTTTTCTTGAATCATATTCATAGGCTTCTTTGTTTTTAGCATTATGAATTTGATGCTGATGGTCTGTGTTGTCGTCTTGAAAAACCATTGAGTAGCAAACGTGATACTATTGATTCGGTTAAAATTGAAAAATCGGCATCACCTACTGTTCCACTAGTTTTACCATTGAATTCACCGATTATTGATTATGCAGAGTTACATATTGGTAAACTTGTTGGATCTGGCGAGTTTGCTGGTACGAGAAATATTTGTTTTTTCTTATAAACATTGATAAATTATAAAGATTTATTTTTATGTAGAAGTTTATGAAGGTATATATAGAAAATCTCGTGTTGCTATTAAAATATTAAAAGAACCAAAATCAACGGTACGGTTTCTTCATGAAGCTGATATAATGAAGTATGTTCTATGTATTTCAATGTTGATATATTATTGTTCTATAAATAAATATGTTAAGTTCATTGAAACATCAAAATCTGGTGCAACTCTTAGGTATTGCACAACAACCAGATCGTATTATTTATTTAGTCACTGAATTCATGGCGAAAGGTTCATTGCTTCATTATTTAACAACACGTGGTAGATCAGTTATTTCTGGAAAAGATTTAATCAGTTTTACTATGTAAGTTTACGGTTTCTTTTGATGATCATGATACAATGCTTAGTACTAAATTCTACGAGCTTACTTTTACGCGAGTAATAAAATAATAATAGAATCTAGTTGTGTAATCAAAAGTTTTCATATGTTTCCGAAAAAAATTTGCTTCTAGTTTGTCTATATCAGAATTCATTTGTATCGACTTCCAGAAATATTCTGAGAAACAAATTCGATAAAATAATGCTATGAAGTAGGCAATCAGATGATGATTGTTACTGAAAACAATTGCCATTCCCTATGATAAAAAAGAATGATAAAAAACAACAGTAAAATACTGATGATTGCGCTTTTTAATGAAACTCATAAAACTAACTGATTTTTATATGAAACCAGTGATACATGTGAAGGTCTAACTTATTTGGAACAAAATCATATTGTCCATCGAGATATAGCAGCGAGCAATGTATTAATTGCTGATGATAATACAGCCAAAATATCGGATTTCGGCTTAGCGAAATGTTTAGAAACAACAGGAAAAGAAAATGGAAACAGTACTATTAAAGAAAAAATAAAATGTCGAACAAAATGGACGGCACCTGAAGCACTTGAATCAAAAGTAAACGGTTATTTTCAGACGGAAACTCAAAACGTTTTGTTTGATTTCTGTAGATGTATACGCATAAAAGTGATATGTGGTCTTATGGTGTTCTTCTTTGGGAAATATTTTCTTATGGAAGATGTCCGTATCCACGCATAGTAAAGAAACAAAGAGTTGACAGAATAATAAAAATGTTTGATATTGTTTTTTTTATAGCCTGCTGATGATGTTTTATTCAATTTAAAAGAAGGCTATCGAATGGAACCACCACACGATTGTCCAACAGATATCGGTGATATTATGCGTCAAGCTTGGCATGCTGATTGGAATCGACGACCCTCGTTTCATCAAGTACTTGAACGACTCAAGCGTATAAATCTCTCATTTTAATTCTCATGTTTTTATTTCTTATTGTTTGTATTGAATTTTTACTCATCTGTCTACTGTAATATCTGTCTGCTTTTAACACTAGTGCAAAACTATTGAAAGACTTTCGTATATTTTATTTAGTTTCAATTCAGAATGATAGTATTGTATATTTGTATTCTGATGATTTTCTTGCTCCTAGTAAAGTGATGAAATTCAGCAAAAAGCATAATCTGTGTTATTCTTATACGTACGGATCCTATCTTTTTTCAATTGCTTTCATTTTTCTCTCATATTTTTATATAGATTTAAATTTTCAAAAAAAATGAAGTGAATTTTTGTTTTTCCTGTACTACTATTTTTAATACCAATAATATTATTGAAGTTATTCTCTAACGTGATAATAAATTTTGCAATTAATATTCAATAAAAATAAAATTGATTTATTTTGATTAGAATTCGTTTATTAATATTTGTTGCAAGAATACTTTGCAACTATGAATGATAATTTCATAAGGTTGACTTTTGCTAATAAAATATATATCAGCTTACAATAAATTTACTGTTCTCGCAATGATAAAAGTGTTCAAAAGATAAAGTACACTTGATCAAAAAGACGATAAAAATGTTCTTTAAAAAGAATATTGTTTCAATTTTCTACCTGTTACAACATGTTTTGTAAACAGAAAGAAATATTTATTCAAAATCTACACTGAAAATACTTTCTAAATGTATAGTCGAAAAAAGTTCGATCATGTTTTGTTTTTAAAATAATGGCCACATTGCTAAAAAGAACTAAAATCTATTTTTCCAAAAACAATCTACAATGTAGGCGCTAGAATAAATTAATATTTCCGCAATTGTTGTTGTTGAATAACTTTTATGCGTTCCATCGTATATTGTTGCTCTTTTTCTCCATTAAATTCATCGTTTATCGCTTTACAAGCCGTGTCGAAAATATTACCTAGTTTTACTTAGAAATTATGTCTAGTTTTCAGTAGTGCTATGGTAAATTACTTCCCATATCTTCATACTTTCGTGGCTCCCGATGGAAATAAAATGTTAATTGACCGTATTTCTATTGCTGTTATGTATGTATATATTTATCTAGTTGATTAAACTTTTTTTTAACGATATAATGAAATAGTACGAAGGTTTAGAAAGGGCATGTCTCAATAAAACCTTGGAAAATCTTTCTGAGAAAATAATTGATGAAGCAAATAACTACTGAATTCGTCTAAACAATATTTGTTTGAATGAACGACTGTGAAATCTTGAAATAAATATGACTAGAAAAAAGTTGTCTCAAAGGATTCGCCACTAAATGTCTAAAGACTTACAAAGAAAATTTTCTGTATCGAAAATAATTGGATAAACTATATATGAAAAACAAATGCAAGTAAAATTGAATACATAGATTTAATTGTCGTTGTTACATACGTGTATACATTAACACGGTTAATACTATCGAAAGATGATCAATTGTATACTGAAAAGAAATATAGTCTATGCGTGATAAATATGTATTTTATGAAAAAAAAAGAAGGACATTGTTGACGATTTTAATTAATTTTTTACATGTAATATATTATTCTATTACATTGGAGATTTTTATTTGTCTTTTTATTTTTGAAAATTACTTTTAATTTATTTATATTGTCTCATTTCTTTATTGCATGTATTATTCGTTTGATTTCTTTTTGTCATTTTGCTCTTGTTATTAACATCATCATAGCTTGTAATCTAACATATAAGTAGTTTCTTATTTCTGTCTGCACTTGCCATTTTATTTTAGATCTTACTAAATCAGTTACAACAACAAAAACAAAAACAAAAATTCAATTATTTTGTTTATTAGAGAAACACTAGTCCGCAGACAATAAATATTCGATGCTACAGCATATTTAGTTTGTTGTATTTTTTCGATTACATAGATATTCTAAAATTTGTTTGTTGATAAGGATAACCCATGTGAGCAACATTTACAGACGGATATATCATTGATGACGGTGTTCCTGGTGTAGCTTGATCTACATCGGGACTAATCAAATATGAATCACGTTGATCTACGCAGCAATTACCATGAACACAACCAAAAATTGATGTTACTGCACCAACGATGGAACCAAGTGCACCAGTAGCAATTAACAACGCATTAAGTATGAGTTCATTTGATTGCCAACGTGGTTTGGGATTCACAGAAGATTTCGTATAATTTTGTACGGATATAATACAGGTTATTATCATATAAAATGAAAGAACAGTTGATACAATTGAAAGAGCTGTGAACCCAATAATTGACGTTCGAGTACCTTCGCGTGATGATAATATGCCGAGAAGACCTGTAACCATTAATACAAGACCAACCCAAAAGCCTTTGCCTAAAAAGAATTATGAACAAGAACATAAAATTATGGTTCAAAATAAAAAGTATTCCTTTCGTTTACCAGATGATGGCCAAAGAGGATTTTCAATTTTTAATCCACCTTCTGATTCATTAAAATTATAAGCACTTGGTTTACCGTGAAATAAATCGATAACAGTCAATATTAATGATGCTAAACCAATAAGAAATAATAGAATTCCAAGTATAGCAAGAAAACGAAATCGTCGACGATTTGATGCATTGTGAAATTTCTCCATGAGACAGACGATATTAATGGTGAATTGCTCTAGTTTCAATAAATATGAATACGAACGACGAGAAGAAGTATGATATAGATCATATGATCTCGGCGGTCAATGAAGCATCACAACATTCATCGGTCAACTTTCAATATATTTAATGTAGGCCAAAGACATAAAAGAGAATAGTTAAAAATTCGTCGCTTTCGAGAGGTCATCTTTTCCATGAGCATGTATGTATATACCAAAATACCCAAAACATTAATTTAGTTTGTCTCTTCGTTTATCTTCATATGCACATAAATTGTATTTGCACTTTTATTTCATTTATATGAATTTTATTTTATAATATGTATTTGTGTATATATATATATGTATTTGTATTCATCTTTTAAAAGTACAGATCTGCCCTTGACAGGTGTTTACAAAAGAACAGCAAAACTATCCTATCGTGCATAGGAATACATAAAAAATAAACAATCTATTTAAATATTGATTCTTATGTAATAACACGCAAAGTAGGTTGTGGTCCATTGAAAGCTCGATCGAATTCATCGTCAACACTATCATCAACAAGTGAATAATGTCCTATAGATGATGAATGTGGTATAGTATGAAATTCAGTTTCATTCGGCATCGTTATGGATGTTGTATTTTTTCTTCTTTGACCTCTTATGAAACAACATATGCATGCACACCGTTCAAGTAACATTTCAAGCCAATACGGTTCTGTACAAGCAATTATAAATATTTGCGTTAGATAAAAACTAGCACGTAATAAAGATGCCAATAAAAATGATTTAAATGTTTCAACTATATGTTCAAGATAATATAAATAAACATCATAAAAAATCAGTATACAAAGTAATGCTGTAACACGTATTGTCCATAATTTTTCTATAGGAGAAACTTGATTTGTACCACGCATAATAAAGAAATAACGAATGACAAGACCGATTAATACTAATGCTGGGATAAGGAGAATAAAGTATATGATCGAACGAGCTGTTGCAAGCATGTTTAATTTCGAATAATTATATAAACAGTATTTAGCTGTATGTGTTGAATAGATTAATTTTGAGCTATTGCTATAGAATGGTGAAGCTAATGTATAAAGAATACTTATGAAAATCCAAGTAAAAATAGTATAAAAATGTAAAGAAAGCATGGAAGAAAATCGTGTAAAATGATATTTCAATGATGGATGTGCATAAAGAAAACGTTCAATAATCATATAAAGAACAAAGAACAATGGTACCTAGGAAATATTCAACATTGAATTAATTCAAATTTTTTTACTGAAAGACTTACTGCTTCATTAGTTGATAGTATAACATAATGAAAACAACAAAGACGTGCTGTAAATATACCAAACCAATTATGTAGTAGAAGAATTAAAGCTGGAATCCATGCGATAAATGCGCAAAGAATAATTTGGGTTGAAAAATAATCAATGACATTAGAATACGTTCCTGAATGAAACATTCGTACAACAAGAGGAATTGCAAGAAGATAAGTTAAAATTGTAAATGTCCATATAACAATATGGACGCTAGTTATAGAATATTTTTCTGGTTCTATTAAATCAGCTATTTGATGTTTATATAAATCTGTTCCATTAAGTAATCTTTTAATTAGTTGATAGAGAGTTTCATTTGTCGATAGAGAAATCGTTGATAAGGCGATTTTTGACATTGTTGTAGGTCCCAATGTAGTCAATAACATTATTGAAGAGATATTACTCATCGCTATTTGATTATGTGGATGTTAATTCTTCTGTTATAAAGATGTGCAAAACTTGTATATGTGGTAGTCACCTTGTCGTGTCTCTTTATCTTATTCAGAAGAAATAATATGCGTTCTTGGTGTGCCGTTGTGCGACTGAATGTACTGATTTTCGTATAGGTTGTGTGGCGAACACGTCGTATGCTTGATTAATTTCATTTCTCCTTCTGCTTTCTCTCGACTAGCGGCAGCAACAACAGCAGAAAGAGAGAAAAAAATACAACATGACAACGTCACAGAAGAAAAAAGAAAAAGAAGAAGAAAAGAATCGAATAAAAGAGAGCATTGAGTAATGCTATAATGGCTTCGACAATCTGTATAGAATTGCGCCTGAATGTGTCGACAAAATTGTTTTATGATCGAGCACAAACAACGCCTTTCATCATATGCGTTGAATTTTTTTCTTTCTTCGAATAAGACTACTCCGTCAATGCCATGCGCCTCGAAAAATATGGATGGTGCAGAATACTTACATGAATAAAATAGATCAATCGTCTTCTTAATGTACGTAGAAAAAGCTTTTGCATCCGTCGAAGGTTATATACACATGTAGAAAGAAAAAGATTACATCTGGTTTTTTTGTATCGATCACATTAGAGTATATTTTATCATGGCGACAAGTCAACAATGAATGAATACATACATATATATATGTATATGTTCAAGTACAAACAAGTGTTGATAGTTCATTATGATACCATGCATCTATTGCAATGGAGCAATAAGCAGTTGATGAAATATTGTTAAATCATAGGAAGAAAAAAAACATTACTATAATAAGGTTCATACGACGAAATTGATTAATTACATAACTATCAGCAATAATAGGATTAGAATACCAAGTTTTGTATGAAAGATAAATCTAAGTGAGAAAGTTCATCACGACATTATGGAAAAAGAAAAATAGGGGAAAAGATTGCTATTTTAAAAGTTAAATATCAAATTGATCTTTCCAGATAAATAATCTTTATTTATGCAATAAATTCTTATTATATCTACATATTCAATCTTCATTTGATAACAAATAATTGATATATCATATAATTGTGATTGGCCTGATCTGTTACTAATATTGATTAAGTATCAATATTTATATAAAGCTACACTCAGTGTTGCAGCAAGCACTGAACCCTGATGTTCTTTATTTCTACTGGTTTAGTGAGAGAATCCTTGTTAATATTCTATTCGGCTTGATTATTCATGAAGAGGAGCACACAATAAAATTTACATAGTAATTGTTTCGAGTCATCTATGATCGTTGACAATCAAGCAATGGACTATTTATAATAAACATTTATGACAATTTTTTGCTCTTCGTAAAAATTCTATTTAGTCTATGATAAGTCACAAAATTGTTTATCTATCAGTAAAACTATCAATCATTTTAGTTGTTATGATTAACGGAAATAGTTAATCATTTAGTATTTAAGAGACGAGAACTGATTCTTGTTTAAATGAATAATATGTGCGCATATCAAAATGAAAAGGTTATCAAAACGTCATACTGTTATCAAGAATTTCTTTTATGTTTTACATTACAAATCACTTTTGTCTTTTACATAAATTATCTTACAAAAAATGCTCCGAAATCTTATTCAATTGTAAAAAAATGGAAATTATTGATTCTCTATTGAATTATTCATATTTCTGTTACTGTAAATTAATCATTAATGATGTGTATGCTAATACAATTTTTTGATAAATGTAACCAGTTACATTACTGCATGTAATAACCTACATGCATTTGATAGCTTCTTGTGATTATATGACTACGTATAATTATTCGAATAGTTGTCTACTGTTAAATATTTCAGTATAATAGCCCATTACCATATGTTGAAAATAGTATGAACATACTTCAGAACGTTGTTTCGGAAATCTTGAGCTAAATGTACTACTAGAATCAAGACATTTGATACTACGCTTTGTAATTCATAGTGTGGCTCCGATTGTTTCATGAAAATAATAAAAAAATGTTTCTGTCTTCAACAAATGATTTTTCTAATCAGTAATAGTCTCGAGATACTATTTTTTCGCACAAGAATAAAAAAGAAAATCGTAAGTCTCTTAAGAATTCTGTGCAATTACTTTTTTTTAAATATTTTACTGTTTTATATTATATCAAATGAGACCTGCGAGTTTCTATTAATTATTGCAACCAGAAATAAGAAAATTATTCAACACTTTGCTTCAATTGGTGAACGTTTTCTTCTGTTGTGTTACATAATTTATTTTATTTCGTATAGGAGATACTTGCTGAACATTATTTTACGTACATCATTATAAATTCGTTTTCATGTTGATCAAAAGATGAAATATCGGCTGAAATTTATTTTTGAGCAATGTCTTCTTTTGAATTTAGATACAACGGTTAGAATGCTAGTGATAAGAAGTGAAACTCCAACATAATTAAGAAAAATCATAGATAAATCAGTATTCACTTAGACAAATACAATCATATTTTTATTGGTGCTAATAAAATGAAAGTTTAGATAATGAAAAACTCATTTAAACATGAAAATTCATCAATACTACGTGTGATTAATTTTATTAGCTCATTCATAGTATTTATAGATGTGGATATTGTTGAAAGAAAGTGGTAACGCTGTCAGACTTGTATATTGTTATTGACACGTGCACTTCATTCCGATTTGTACACATGTCGAAGTATGCATTATCCCCTTTAAGTGTTATCTTCAGTATGCGACGTAAGCTGCCTAGAGAGTATTTAATTCTTTCTATGCGAAACGAAGCACACAATAGCAGCACGAAGAGTCAAGTACAAAAAATATTGAGTAACAGAGACACGTAATCTTCAGTCGCTGATAAGTTACAATTCAAGAGCGAAAAAGGATTCACAAAAATTGGCCAAAAATTCAACATTTTCAATCGATCTCCGTCAATTTCTATACATTTCTATCGTATTTCATCACGTATGACAGAAGAATCACACACATAATCTAAAACAAAGCATATTTTATCGAAATACTTGGCTTAATATCTTAGCTTTAAGTATCGTAAATATGTGAACGTGTATATTACAAAAAATAGAGACATACATCCACCAAAACAATAGAGTAAAATAATTATAGTATACGTACATAATTCGAACCGACATAAAAGTTATAGGTAAACCCTTGGGCGATCATTCGATACAGTTGTACCCTATACCAACGGAAGTTAGATTAGTAATGTAAAATGAAAAGTTCGGTCAAACTATTCCTAGTGAGAAGAAAATTAATTGAGCAAGCTAGAAGAAAACATATTAATATCGATGTTAACATTTACATGTAATATTAATTTATTTTTAATACGAGGCTTTATTTTAATATATAATCTAGTTTCGTAGTTCTTAATATAGCCACAAGAATTACTTCGAACAAAAAACATTCATTTAAAGACATCATATAACCAACTTACTCGATTACTGAGACACTAACCAATCAAATCCGATACAGATAGATAGAGATTTTTATTCGCCTATTGAATTTTTATTCCAACTGAAGATTGTTATGACTCGTAACTAGATATTTAAAAAGGTTCTCTCCGAGTACTATCGCAATAGAGAGATTCTATACGTTAACTTAGATATCGTAATGGTCAAGATTGATTGAATATTATTATCATCATTCCTAAGACATTCTGACTAAGATTCGATATTTGATTGAAACAACTACTTGATTTATTATTAATCAATTTGCAAAGGAAATAATTGTATATAGCAACGTCTTTTCTAGTACAATCATGTTACAATTGTTCATCATATAGACATGCTTCTTTTTGAATTTAATTCTCAATTTAGAAAAAACAAAACAAAGATTTCAGATAGTTTAGCTCGTCAATGATGTTCATTTCAACTTTTTCGGCTATAAAAACATACTACGTCAATAAAATTAATGATAATTGCTTTGAAATTTTACATGAAGACATGAACAATGATTAGATTTGACTAAGTGGAAACCAGTGTATTGCATACGACTTGAATTCATGCAAAGATTTCCAATGAAATTGTATCTGTCAGTTCAGTTTCTGAAATCAATACTTCTTGTTTCGACTAAATATCTGGTCTTTCTCCACAGACAATAATCATTCCGTTCAAAACATTTTAAACATCCTTTTTCGCTACTAGTCCTTTTGTAATAATATCTATGACCGATCCAAACTTGATATTTTTTATTTTGTTTATGAGCATCTTCATCATTTTTATTTTCAACAAAGTAGATAACAAGACAAAGAATGAGAGAAAAAAAGCATGGAGCATCGCACCGTTTCAACTGCATGCACATGAGAAAACTGAATGGTAACGACTCTTGTTTATCCTATTTTTCAATATGAATTAACATAAGGTTTTTAACCTCCAAATGAATTTGTTGTTTTCTAAGAATATTTTATTGTTGTTCTTGGTTGTATACCATCAAAGAAAAAAAGTCCAAGGCAAAAAGATAGTGTTTGACAGAATAGATTAATAAATTCATATTCTTCATTACACTTAGACACAGATTTTGTTTGTTCACAAAAAGAAGAAGAAAAGAAAGCAAAAGTAATAATGACAACAATCCATAGGAGAACAAAAAAAAACAGTTTACATATTTCATTTGTACCAATAAGACCTGATTATTAACGATTTTCGACTAGATGAAAGAAAATGAAAAAAAATCATTACTATAAAATTTAGGAAAAAAGAATAAATAATTACTGTATGTAGCTACATCGATTTCATCGGGCATTTCAGTAATTTGTACTTCAAATCGACTTTGAACTTCATTGAGAATTCCTGCGTCACTTTCATCTGCAACATATGTTATAGCTAAACCTTTTGTGCCAAAACGACCAGCACGAGCAACCTAAAATAAAAGAATAAAAAATAAACACAGAACAAGAAAAAATAAAGCTATCGACATACTCGATGAAGATATGTATCTGAATCTTCTGGCATATCATAATTAAATACAATATTAACACGTTCAATATCCATACCACGTCCAAATAAATTTGTTGCAACGAGAATACGTGTTTGAAATTCTTTAAATTCTTTATAACGTGCCAAACTATAAAAGAAATAACTCGTGCCTTATGGAATATCGGACTTTTTTTAATGAAATATAAAACTAACCGTTCTTCTTGAGGCATTCCACGATGAATTTCAACAGCAGGAAAATTTTGCTCAGTCAATAGCTTGCATAAAGCTGTACAACGTGGTACTGACTTAACGAAAATAACTACTTGATTAAATTCTAATTTATCAAGTAAATCAATTAATTTTCGATTTTTTTCATTTTCACGTAACTTCACATAATGCTGACGAAGACCCTATATTAAAACAAAATTATATGATTATTGAACTTAAATCAACAAGCTAATGTTTAGTAGCACACTTCGTCTGTGGATGAAACATGGGATTCACACATATGTTCTGTCTTTACTATGTTAATAAAACATGAATACTTTATAAATTATATCTTTAATGGGATCTTTATCTGTTTGCAAGTGTCTATAATGATAGCACATACTAATTGCTAGATTTTATAAGGCAGTCATATAATCGTTGCTAAGATCTGTAATGAATAGACTGTGCCTGTTTAATATTTTCTCTGATGACAGTAAAAGAGAATAAAGTCATAGTTTAATTATTTTTGTCTTTAATTAGCAAGGAATCAATAATATTTTGTGCCTACAACAGGAGACGAGATAAAAACAAAAGTATAAAATCTCGTTTTCAAATAAACGATAATAACGATTTTCGAAAATACATCTGATTTCCACTAAAACAGCTTTTCAAGATTTATTTAATATATGCTAAAGATGAATTCGAGAACCGTTTGCTCCAGAATGAAATCAAAGCAGAGTTGTTAAGAGCATAATTAGAAACATAAATAATTTGGCAACATACATCTCTAGTATAAATAGATAATGATCTATAAAACTTACGTGAAGTGTTAATTTAGTTTCATTGTCAATATAAATTTCCATTGGCTAAAATAGAACCACAACTTACACTTTTATAAGTACAATAATTATTCTCAACTTACATGTTGCATGAATTTCTTGCACACCGGTCGAATTTCTTTACTTAATGTAGCACTAAACATAAGTACTTGTTTTTCATGTGGTGTCATTTTAAATATTTCCTGAACATCTCGACGCATATCTAGAGATATTTATTAAATAAAAAATTAAATTAAATTTCTCTTTTTAAACCAATACTGAATTCATACCAATTGATTCAAGTACTTTGTCGCATTCATCAGTAATAAAGTGTTTGACATAACGTAAATTGAGTGCTTTACTTTTGGCTAATGCTAAAATACGGCCAGGTGTACCAACAACAATATGTGGACAATTTTTTTTCAAAACATNCAGTCAATAGCTTGCATAAAGCTGTACAACGTGGTACTGACTTAACGAAAATAACTACTTGATTAAATTCTAATTTATCAAGTAAATCAATTAATTTTCGATTTTTTTCATTTTCACGTAATTTCACATAATGCTGACGAAGACCGTGAAGTGTTAATTTAGTTTCATTGTCAATATAAATTTCCATTGGATGTTGCATGAATTTCTTGCACACCGGTCGAATTTCTTTACTTAATGTAGCACTAAACATAAGTACTTGTTTTTCATGTGGTGCCATTTTAAATATTTCCTGAACATCTCGACGCATATCAATTGAATCAAGTACTTTATCGCATTCATCAGTAATAAAGTGTTTGACATAACGTAAATTGAGTGCTTTACTTTTGGCTAATGCTAAAATACGGCCAGGTGTACCAACAACAATATGTGGACAATTTTTTTTCAAAACATCTTCATCATTTTTTGTTGGTAAACCACCAAAAAATACCGATACTTTTACAGCTGGCATATATTTGCAAAAACGTTCATATTCACGACTTATTTGAAATGCTAATTCACGTGTATGACAAAGAACAATTACCGATACTTGTCCATCGACAGGTTCAAGTTGTTGAAGTGTTGCAAGTACAAAAACAGCCGTTTTACCCATACCCGATTTGGCTTGACATACAATATCTGTACCAAGAATAGCTTGCGGAATAGATTCATGTTGAACTATAGAATAAATAAATAAATTTGTTTGGCAAGTTTTTTTTTTGTCTTCATATAAAACCTTCCGATGGATGTTCAAAACCACAATCCATAATAGAACGAAGTAATTCAGGTTTAAGAAGAAAATCTTTAAAACCGCTAGCATGTATGGATACATATGAACCTCGCACAGCTCCACTTTGCGTACCAGTTGAACTTCCATTTTGTATTGATATTACACCATTATTACCATTTTTATCTTCTTTTCGTGGTACATCATCTGTTTCATCATAATCAAGAAGATCTTGTTCATCAGTCATTATTTATTATTTATCTGAAAGTACTTTTTCATTTAATTATTATTATTATTATTTTAGTTTCATCTAAAAGAAAAGCAAACATCAATAGATGCTATTTTATATTCGTATGTATAAGAATTTAAATAAAGATATTAGAAAAAACAAACAAACAAACAAACAAACATCATCATTCGTATATTATCATTGAGAAAAATGACAAAAAAAAGAGAATATTTGTATATTCACTGTTATTTGTGACGCATACGAATGCATAAAGCATTAAAAACACATACACAGAAAATGCAATAAAGACAAAAAAATGAACAGGAAATAAAAATGTTGGTCTATCGAAATAATGCAATTATATCAGTTTTACACTCACAGACAGATCTTTGGAATGCGCAAGGAAAGAAGGATATTTATATATACAAAGTCAGAGAAAGAGAGAGAGAGAGGTAGATAGAAATGTTATCGAAAGAGAATAATAATGATAAATGTACAATTTTGAAAAAGAAAACACTCAGACTAATGACATCGTAAAAGACGTTTTACAGAAACAAAAGAAATACATTTGGTTTTATTTCGTTTTAAGTGAGAGAAAAAAATAGACGAGATCGATTTTCTATGAGGCTGTTACAATTGTTTGTTGTGATGTAACGGGTGGCGTATGAGGTTCTTGCTTTTTTTCAGCTATAACTTGATTATTCGTTGACGAAGAATAGTTATTAGCATTTGCAGTTGAAGGAGTTAAAGTTGAACAATTCTAAAAGAAAAGAAACTCTTCTAATAGGTTCAATACACTTTCTGTAATGACGCAAATGTGTAATCATCATGCTTATCTACTACATCTTTTCAGTAGCTACAAAAATATTAAAATTATTGCTTCTTGTTCATAGGAGTTTCTATTCAATAGAAAAATGAATCTATTTAACAATGTTTATATTTTCAAAAAGTTTTCTCGAATCGAAGTATTCTCAATACAATGAAACAAATCTCATAATTAGAATAGAATTATTTGAATAGCTGTCGTATTAGGAATGACCACTGTTTTTTATTTCACTATGAATCATTTTTCGAAACAAAATTGATTTCTACAAGAACTATTCGAAAGTACTATTTAAAATAAATCATTTGGTTTTAAACACTGAATTGATACATAACTTTGGTTTAAACTGAAAAAAATTATTTTATGAACTATTTGTTTTACCTATACAAAATGATGGCAAACATTTCTTTATTTTATATTTTGAAATACTTCGGTATTTCTTTTCCAGTAACTGTTTAAGAGAATATCTTTAAGTAGCAACATTAATTCCTATTGCGCAAAGACTCCCTATTGAAATTTGATTGTATTTTTTTATCAGCTGTAAGTCATTATTCAGATGGAACGGACGTGCTCGCATTCAAATTTTTGATTCATTAGTTTAATTCGCATCAAGTCATCATCGACTAGATTTTTCAGTTATGCAAAAAATCTCTCTAATTAATGATGTGCTCATTTTTATGTGAATGAATTAAATTAAATGTATTCAATCATACCTGATTATGACTGTTGCCTGAAGGAGTCTGTGGAGAATTATTATTTGTAGCTGAAATTCTTTTCCCAGCTACTGATAATTCACCATTAATTGGTGTTAACGGTGGCGGTTGATTATTTAAAAACATTGACGGCAATTGTTGTTGCTGCTGCTGCTGCTGTGGTGATCCAGGATATGATATCTGTTCCCGTTTAATCTGATTTGGATTTAATATTTGAGAAGAATTTTGATTGAACTGTTGTTTAGGATGAAGTAATGATTGAAGATTAGGATTTTGTTGATATCCTTGAGGCATAGAATGCATCAGAGAATGATATTGAGATGATACACCATTTGGATCATATTGTGTATTTTCAAGTCGAGTTATATACCGCTCATCTTCATCGTCCATTTCACCACCCATTAATGTTGGTTCACCAACAATCATTACATCCTAAACTCATATATTAGTAAATCAAAATTTAAATTTAAATTTTCGTACTCCTGGCATATTATTATTTATTGGTAATGCTGCAGGTTGAGAGTATATATTATTATTATTATTATTATTAGCAGCAGGTGAACGTTTTTTTGTTGGTGTTGTACAATTGGTTATATTAGACTCTTTATTAGGAGTTACAGCCGTACTATTAACCGTTGTGGTTTTTCGTTTTCGTCTAGGTTTTGTTGTTGGTCGATTATCTAGTAATTGAGAGATATGAAAAAACAGTTCCCTGACATCTGTTTTATGTACCTGAGCAAGTTTTTGACCAACGTTGATGTAAAATTGTTTTTAAACAATCACGTGGTGAGAATGTTGTAGTTTTATGGCGAGACATTAATTCTTGCATGGGTTCCAAAATTTCACATAACTATTATACACGAAAATGTAAAATTCTAAAAATAGACGGACATACAATTTTACCCTGAGAAAATTTAGCATTGATGATGTTAATCCATTGCGAGTGAAATTTTTTGATAATTGATCAAGATAAATTGGATTATCGGTCTAAAAATAAACTTACCATTCGAAGTTTTTACTTTATTAAATAATAACAATAAGGGCAAAAAAGTTTTGCATTTTTTCATGTCATCAGTAAGTGAAATTTTTCTTTTTCTACATGGTACAAATGGAGTTTTCTCACAATTATCTCAATATTTTTTAGTTGTCACTCTTTACAACATATAGATCCTCACGAGTATGGATTGCCCACAAAAATGAATACTGCAGTTTTAGAACACTGACGTTAAACTCAACGATAGCGGTTTATATAATTTTAACTTCAAGTTTTCTGAACAAATACAACATGAATGGCACCATTTGGTTATAAGAATTTCAAATTATTAGATTCTTTGTATTTTAATATGGCAATAAAACAAGCGTAAAAATTATAGCTTTAATAGGCAAAACTCAAACATTCAGTCATATTGTTCTTAATAGGAGTAAAACGAGAAATCCCCATTTCCCAATACTGTCGTCATGACAGTGTCATCATTATTGAGATTAATCTTTGTGCCCAGTTTTACCTTGAAAATAACTATTGTTTGATTTCTATGATATCAGCATAAAACTACAAAAAGGCAAATTGCATCATCTCAATAACGCACATTTTTCTCACGATAGTCATAATTCACCCGAATGTATACAATATGCAAAGTTTCGATTCGAATACTAGCATAAAATGATGGCCACTTTGTGGCAGATAAACTTAGTGTTAACGTATGATTAGTTTTAGAGGAAGATAGTAATCAACAGATAAGAACGTAGATTTTGTGAGACTTCGGATAGCAAAAGATATTACTATAGTTTTCTTCGGTTTGCTTTCGAAAACTTTGTCTTTGCAATCTCTGTTATTCACAATCGAATTACTACCGAACGCTTTTCACAGATGTAAGAATTTCGATGTCAACTTAATTTCATAGCAACTGTTGTGAACGGTTACGTATACTATCGATCTCACAAATATGGTAACAAGCAACGTACACAATGAATCTGTACTAAGTAAGCTTTCCTTACCATTCAACCAAACTTATACTAAATCATGAAATAGTATATAGAAATGTATAATGTATGAAAATTGAATAGTTGTGAAGAGTAGATTTATACATACCGGTATAGCAACAACACTTCGTGGAATTAATTCTCGATATTGTTTTATTGTAAAATTCCATGACTTTATACGCATTAAGTCGTCAAACGTAAATTCAATATTAAAATGTCCTTCATTGCAAACCTAACAAAAAAAAATTAAAATCGTAAAAATTCGTTTGTATACATCTTCTTTAAATTTACTTTAATGAATGATGGCTTTCCAAAGCAGGTTATCAATGAACCCTGTTCACAATCGAGAGATATACTTGGGTTATGGAATATTTCTTTTGCTTGTTTTAATAAAAAATAAACTTCACTAACACCACCTTCAAATAATGTATGGAAAAATCGAGGAATCAAAAGACGGCCAATATCTTAAATGAAATTACAAAAATTATTTCCGATTTAGATGAACAAATAGCTAAGATATATATATATATATATTCATACTAAATCGTTTTGGTCCATCTTCCATACACATTGATATTGATAATGTTGCATCGTCTTCAAAGAATTCATTGACAAATGAGTCCCACCAAAGATTATCACAATCCTAAGTATATTCATATATGTAGTTAAAAAACGGAATCCTTTAATTCTTACTTCTGTTCGCATGGATAAACGCTTATTTAAATCGTACATTCGATATTCAGGTGATGTCGGAGGAGAGAACGACGGTCGAAACTGTCTCATATGTTGTGGTCTACAAAGACAAAACAAAATAAGAAAGTTGATGCGAGAAATAAAAACAAAATCATCGTACGGAAAATGTAAATCTCGTGGCGGCATAAGTGAAAAACGTCCTGGATGATTATGAATTGCGAGGGATGGCGGAGGTGGACCTTGCCAAAGTCCACCTGGACCAGGCGAGTCTATAAGACTTGGTTGGAATCCACTTGGATCCACTTTTGATCTGAAAAAGAATTTTTTAATAAAAAAAAAAACGTTCAAAATAATGCAAGAAATTAACAATGATGAACTAACCGATTGCAAAATTTATCCACGGCAAGATTAAATTTTCTTCCTAGTTCTTTCTCGTTATCTACGTTTCGTCAATACAGTGAACAGACACCATTCGAAGAATACATGTTGTATAACATTTGAATAGCATGTTTTGTTTCATTTTTTTTCTGCTCTACGAAATACTGATGCCATGTTGCTCTTGTGTCATTTATCTATATCCTCCTTATTTTCTCTTTTTTGTCGTATTTCTTCCAATTACAAAAAGTTAATATTCAATTAGAAAACCTTCATTTATAAAAAAAAGAATAACTTTTCTATCCACGCAATTTATAAAAAGAATTGTTTATTTTTATAGAAAAAAATCAAGCAACACATCGAATAGATGTCACTAACACCGACACAAGAGACGAGAATACCTGAAATAGAGAATATAAACAATGATAGTTGCAACGAAAAGATTAGGCGAAGGTTTTTTTAAAGATTAATATTTAAAATATTTCTCTGTACTGATGTAAACAATTGAAGAAATACTAATATTAATAAAAAAAATATTTTATTTTTATTTTCACTAAAATTAAGCCTCGACGGCATATTTTTTATCCAAATGCGTAATTAACCATAACAGCGTGAGCTGAGTCGTGCAAAATAAAATAAGGTTTATTTTCTTAATTTGATTAATTGAAATTTTTAATTCATATTGATCTATTAAATTTAAAAAATCAAATTTAATTAAATGTCTTCATTATTGGTTCTATTTTAATCAATCATAAATAATGTTTTTTTTTGTGCAAGGCATTGGTGTCTTATTGATTATACGGATGACTAGGCAAAAATAATGTTTATCGTGTTTCCTTTCTGCAAAAAAAAATTCAATCTTTTATACGAATAGCGAAATTAGCATTTTTTTAATAGAAAATTAATGATAGCTGTTTGTAGACAATGAAAAACATTGGTCTATATGTTACTTTGATTAATTTCTCTTTGTTATTTGTATTGTCTGGTTCATCTTATTTACCGCAATGGTCATCACTCGATACAAGACCATTACCCAGCTGGTATGATCAATCTAAAGTCGGTATTTTTATACACTGGGGTGTCTTTAGTGTTCCATCAATTGACCCCGAAGCATGGTAAGGAACGAAGTTATTATTTTTGCGAAACTAATTGAACTATATGTCAATTCATGACGACCTGCACAGAAATAAGTTAAACTGACTTCCATCGCTACTTTCAGATAATAGATAGAATGTATTCATGCACAGCATGGATATTTACTAATTTGATTTTTTCTTCTCTTATTCCATTTACTAAACAACAATATAAACCTGAGTGGTCTTCATTAGACCAACGTCCATTACCTGCATGGTATGATGAGAGCAAAATAGGAATATTTATTCATTGGGGTGTTTTCAGTGTTCCATCTGTTTATTCCGAATGGTATGTTTTTCTAATTTTTGATCTTGCCAATATTAATTACTTGTGCACAAAAACATGCAGCAATAAAATGTCTTTCTAATTCTATCTAGGATGTGGTGGGCATGGAAAGGAGATAATCCAAATCCTGATACAGTTGCTTTTATGAATAAAAATTACCCACCGGATTGGACATATGCAGATTTTGCTTCACAATTTCGTGCTGAATTCTATAGTTAGTAGAAAAGATTAGCATTCTCTTGTGTAACAAGCTGCAGTTTTCACTTGTAGATCCCAATGAGTGGGCTGATATTTTTGCTGCATCTGGTGCCAAGTACGTACATATCATTACTTTTGTAATCATTGTTCTCGTTTCTCATTGTTTTTTAGATACGTTGTTCTNCCACCGGATTGGACATATGCAGATTTTGCTTCACAATTTCGTGCTGAATTCTATAGTTAGTAGAAAAGATTAGCATTCTCTTGTGTAACAAGCTGCAGTTTTCACTTGTAGATCCCAATGAGTGGGCTGATATTTTTGCTGCATCTGGTGCCAAGTACGTACATATCATTACTTTTGTAATCATTGTTCTCGTTTCTCATTGTTTTTTAGATACGTTGTTCTCACTAGCAAGGTCTCCTACTTTTAATAGATATATTTGCTCTTTGATACGTTTCGATTTCTCATGTAAAACAGCATCATGAAGGTTTCACAATGTGGCCATCAAAATATTCATTCAACTGGAATGCCATGGACGTTGGCCCAAAACGCGATTTACTCGGTAAATATTCCGTGTCATATGCCTAAAATTCTCATGGTTATTTTCAGGTGATCTCGCAAATGCTATTCGAAATCGAACTGATATTGTTTTTGGTCTATATCATTCAATGTTTGAATGGTTTCATCCTTTGTACCTTGAAGATAAAAAAAATGGTTTTAAAACACAAATGTTTCCTTTTGTATGATAAGAATTAAATGAAAACGAGATGACAAAAGAATATAAATACTTTATTGTAGGGTAAAACATTGCCCGAATTAAAAGAAATCGTTGAAACATACAAACCATCCGTGATATGGTCTGATGGTGATTGGGGTTTGTACATGAAACATACTTTAGCTTAGAATGAATCCATTCTACGTATCTCTTAGAGGCATCCGATGAGTATTGGAATTCGACAGGATTCCTTGCATGGCTTTACAATGAAAGTCCTGTCAGAGATACAGTAGTACGTATGATGAGTTTTGAAAAGAGAGGAATTCGCAAAAAAAACTCTATTGATTCTATATTGAAGGTTGTTAATGATCGTTGGGGTAGTGGAATTCCATGTCAACATGGCGGTTTTTACACATGCGCCGATCGATACAATCCAGGGCATCTTGTTACACATAAATGGGAAGATTGTTTCACAGTATGTGGCTTCCTTGGTTTATTTCTATCTAATGAAAGGATTTCGATAGATCGACAAGAGTTCATGGGGTTATGTTCGTACATCAAGCGCAAATGATTATCTTACAATTGAAGAAATTCTTGATCAAATTATTACCACTGTGAGGTAGTTAAACTGTTTGTTATTGTTGTATCCTTCGTATAATTTGATTTCTAGTACGGGAGGTAATGTACTGATCAATGTTGGTCCAACATCATACGGAAAAATTGCACCAATATTCGAAGAACGTCTCCGACAAATGGGTTCATGGTTAAAAGTGAATGGCGAAGCTATCTACAGTAGTATTCCATGGAAATATCAGAACGATACTATCAACAAAAATGTTTGGTAAAGTTTTATGTTTAGAAAAGATATGACAGTATCGAATTTTTTTCGTTTCCCTTGAAAGGTATACATCGTCGAAAGATAAAGAATTTGTTTATGCAAGTCTTCTTGATTGGTCAAAGAATACGAGCGAAATATTGTTAGGCGCTCCGGTCAGTTCATCGAGTACACGTGTAACACTTCTTGGTTCAGATATGGTTCCTCTAAATTGGCATCCCGCGAGCGCAAGTGGTGGTATTATCATTGATGTATCAAATGTAAAAATCTATTCGCTTGCAAGTGATTGGGCATGGGTTTTCAAATTAGAAAACATTAGTTATGATGTATCTAAGGAAAAATGAAAAATGACGTCTATGATAACTATTCAAGATCCGTTGAATTAATTAGAACGTCTGACGATCGTTGCTTTTTTTGTTATGTGATTTTTTCTCTCTGACGGTTGATTTTTTTCTGTACGGTGTATAATTCAATAATATTCTGATTTAATTATGCATGCGGTTTTTATTCGTTTGGGTTATGAAATAGTTATCTATGCTAAAAAGTATAAACTGCGTGATAAACTACGGCTAAAATATAAATTAATGAAGCGACTTCAGGAAAGTTGATCGAACGATAAATTGTAATAAAGTAAAAGGTCTAAAGAAAATATATTTATAAAACGAGACTTTTCACTATGGGGTTAAGTCAAAATTAAAATAAATAGAATTACACCAATGATAAACATCATGAAGTTTGTATGGTATCAATTTTTTATTTAATACTGAATCTGTAATTGATAAGATAATGTGTTGAGTATGGTTAATTTAGGAGATGCTTTTGCTTTTATGAATAAATTCTTTTCTTTTCTTTTCTTAATTATTAATCGATGATTTCGTCAAAATTGCCAGTCAGTTTTTCTCGCACTTCATACTTAACCACGAACTAAAGCATCTTACAAACAATAAACACATTTTATAATGATCTAATATGTTAAATAATTTTGCATGGAAAAGCTTTATTTAGAAATATGCAAATAAAACCCTGCTCCCCATTTTATCTACAACATGTATATCTTATCATTCTATTCATGTTGCTTACACCTTTTGAATACCTTCAGATATAAGCATTTTTGAGACACTGCATTCTCACCAGCGTGTATCTCTAACAAGAGAAGCAACATGCAATTTTTAACAACAGTTTTATTCGTCGTGGTACTTTATAGCTCTATTTTACCATTTTCTCAACAACAATATACACCAGATTGGAAATCATTAGATACACGTCCATTACCTGCGTGGTATGATGAAAGTAAAATCGGTATCTTCATTCACTGGGGTGTTTTCAGTGTTCCATCATTCGAGTCTGAATGGTAGGCTTTGAACAAAAGGATGCTGAATCTTCAACTTACATTAAAATATATCTATGAATATCTGTTGATTATCATTTTGTATAGGTTTTGGTGGGATTGGAAAGGAAGCAACCCCAGCCCTGCTGCTGTAGCTTTCATGAATAGAACTTATCCACCGGATTGGACATATGCAGATTTTGCTTCACAATTTCGTGCTGAATTCTATAGTTAGTAGAAAAGATTAGCATTCTCTTGTGTAACAAGCTGCAGTTTTCACTTGTAGATCCCAATGAGTGGGCTGATATTTTTGCTGCATCTGGTGCCAAGTACGTACATATCATTACTTTTGTAATCATTGTTCTCGTTTCTCATTGTTTTTTAGATACGTTGTTCTCACTAGCAAGGTCTCCTACTTTTAATAGATATATTTGCTCTTTGATACGTTTCGATTTCTCATGTAAAACAGCATCATGAAGGTTTCACAATGTGGCCATCAAAATATTCATTCAACTGGAATGCCATGGACGTTGGCCCAAAACGCGATTTACTCGGTAAATATTCCGTGTCATATGCCTAAAATTCTCATGGTTATTTTCAGGTGATCTCGCAAATGCTATTCGAAATCGAACTGATATTGTTTTTGGTCTATATCATTCAATGTTTGAATGGTTTCATCCTTTGTACCTTGAAGATAAAAAAAATGGTTTTAAAACACAAATGTTTCCTTTTGTATGATAAGAATTAAATGAAAACGAGATGACAAAAGAATATAAATACTTTATTGTAGGGTAAAACATTGCCCGAATTAAAAGAAATCGTTGAAACATACAAACCATCCGTGATATGGTCTGATGGTGATTGGGGTTTGTACATGAAACATACTTTAGCTTAGAATGAATCCATTCTACGTATCTCTTAGAGGCATCCGATGAGTATTGGAATTCGACAGGATTCCTTGCATGGCTTTACAATGAAAGTCCTGTCAGAGATACAGTAGTACGTATGATGAGTTTTGAAAAGAGAGGAATTCGCAAAAAAAACTCTATTGATTCTATATTGAAGGTTGTTAATGATCGTTGGGGTAGTGGAATTCCATGTCAACATGGCGGTTTTTACACATGCGCCGATCGATACAATCCAGGGCATCTTGTTACACATAAATGGGAAGATTGTTTCACAGTATGTGGCTTCCTTGGTTTATTTCTATCTAATGAAAGGATTTCGATAGATCGACAAGAGTTCATGGGGTTATGTTCGTACATCAAGCGCAAATGATTATCTTACAATTGAAGAAATTCTTGATCAAATTATTACCACTGTGAGGTAGTTAAACTGTTTGTTATTGTTGTATCCTTCGTATAATTTGATTTCTAGTACGGGAGGTAATGTACTGATCAATGTTGGTCCAACATCATACGGAAAAATTGCACCAATATTCGAAGAACGTCTCCGACAAATGGGTTCATGGTTAAAAGTGAATGGCGAAGCTATCTACAGTAGTATTCCATGGAAATATCAGAACGATACTATCAACAAAAATGTTTGGTAAAGTTTTATGTTTAGAAAAGATATGACAATATCGAATTTTTTTCGTTTCCCTTGAAAGGTATACATCGTCGAAAGATAAAGAATTTGTTTATGCAAGTCTTCTTGATTGGTCAAAGAATACGAGCGAAATATTGTTAGGCGCTCCAGTCAGTTCATCGAGTACACGTGTAACACTTCTTGGTTCAGATATGGTTCCTCTAAATTGGCATCCCGCGAGCGCAAGTGGTGGTATTATCATTGATGTATCAAATGTAAAAATCTATTCACTTGCAAGTGATTGGGCATGGGTTTTCAAATTAGAGAATATTACGCCGATGGGAGTTAATAAGAAACCATGACGATGTTGATAAACATGATAGAGTCATTTGGCATGATTTGTAATTATGAAGTTGTTTTTTAATTAGTTCATTCGTGTTTAATACTTGATAGATTTTTTTTTAAAGATTTGATCGGTTCAAACAGTCTGTAGTGCTTATTACTTATTTTGTGAATAAATGTTGTCTAATCTACATGTCATTTCAATTAAGATCTTATAGATATCTAAAATCCTTTTCATGATTAGACAAACATATCAATTTCGATGCTTTTGACGTTTGTCTTAAAAGAGGAAAAAATATGAATAATTCAGTTCTTTTTCAGCTCTCTAACTTCGGCTATGCGCTTTTAGTGAGTAGATGGTAGCAATAGAATCGAAGTAAGCCCTATCCAATCGATCATAACATAGCCTAAAAGAAGTGCTCAACAAGAAGAACTATTGAAAAGTATCACATTTTTTAGATTATATGATTGCCATAAATTGATGAAATAGATCTTTCAACATGATCGAGGCCATGTTTACTGTTAATTATCAATTTGATCTTTTTATCAAATTCTACAATAGTAAAGTGTGTTGAACTTGACTTGGAAGGAAAACAATGCATAGAAAGATCAAACTGATATCAAGATCTGTTTGAAATACAAAAAAGGAAATGTTAGAAAAGTAAAATTTACTCAGATAAAAACGACGTAATATTTATAATATTTCTGAGATTGATTTCATAAATGTATTTTGTCTTGATGAAAATGGAAATCGAGTATTTGTTTCTTTGTCAAACGTTGTGACTGTTAGATTACTTGCAAACGATGATGATGTTTGTTGACGTGGTAATATTGGTGGAAGCTTAAGACGATTTTTAGACGCAGTATTTGTCGCTGATGTTAATTCATCCTTATTTATGATGAGTAAATCTTCAATAACTGATTGTTTTGTTGTGGAATTATAATTAGTTTGATTGGATATCGTATCATCAATATCCTAAAACAATTAATCAATATCATTAATAATTTTAAAAATAAAATTCAATACTTGTGTGAATAGTAAAGCATATGGAGTTACACACACACCACCTTTAACTAAATGGCGTCCATCAATATCACTGAAACGATGACGTCGTTCTTGTCGTTTTAGTTTTTGTTGAGTTAGACCTCGTTCAATCGATATACCAAGACCAGTACGTTCACGCTAAAATAGTTAGTAATGAAATTGCAATTTCTAATGAAAATAGATTTCTTATTACATATAAGAATGATGGACTCTCGAATGCAGTTGAAACCGATTTAAAGATTTGACTATACTGTAGAAATAAATTTATTTACAATTCATCAAGCATACTATGCGTTTCTTAACATACATCATTGAATTTAGTCATGGAGGATGATGAAAAGTTGTCTTGTTCTTCTTTATTGTCGAGTGGAACTTCAATAGTTAATAAATGAGATGTTTTTTCATTCATTATTGATTTTGTTTCTATGAAGAAAAAGAAAGAACAATTAAATTGCCATGTCTTTATTGACAATCAATATCATCTTCACATTGAATAACTATTCATTCAGATGATTCTAAGATTGATCAATTCTAATGTGTTTAATTTATGATTTACTTAAACATTTTACATAAATCTTCCATTGAACAAAGTCGATCTTCAATGAGAGGCCATAAACGTATCACATTCTATTTAGACTTATTCGATCAGTTCAGAGAACGCATGGGAAGAAAATTCAACAAGAACAAAATGAATGAAATAAAAGCTTCCTTCATATTAAGATGATTTCAAAATACAGATTTGATATTGTATTTTGTTGAAAGTAATGAACGATGTAAGAGTTTCTGAAAAAATATAGCTTCATTGTTCAGCGGATTTATTATCGTATGTTTTAGAAAAATATACTGCACTTTTTCCAGAATCTAATGTGAAATGGTTATTCAAATATTTGTTAAAAAGTATTTCTAGGATGTCTTGCATTCGTGCGACGGTCATATCTATAGGTAATACTGACATACAATCTAGCTGTAAAAAGCAATATATAACGATTGGCACAGAATGAACCAACCTTGAAGTGATGCAGTAGAATTTTACATGAGGTTCATATAGAATTAAACGAAGAATATAATGGAAAAAACAGCAGGAATTTATAATAAACAGTTATGGGAAATATTTTGGAAAAATATTGGAATATCGATTCATTCAGCTACATTTAGGGTAGGCTGCTTTTCACAGAATAAACTTCAGCACCGTTTAGAGACGTGATCATTACTTAAAAACAAGGCATTCTATAAAAAATTTCGACATACAGTTAGAGAGTGTATCTAACATATATTCGGCATAGATAGTTGTTATTTTCACAAAAGTATGTTATAACTGATGGCAAATGAAGTAAAGTTTCGTCATGAATTTTTGCATCACTCAGTAACTTTTAGGTATCAAAATTGATCTTGGAAAATTCGATCAAAATAGATCGGAGCTGCGAAATTAGTATTTTCTATTAATACGAACCATCGTTGTTATGGTTAATTGTTTTCGCTGTTTTTTCTCTAATGGACTGTTGATCAACTTCCGCTCTTGACGTCAGAAATGAATCAATATCCCATGGGTATCTTTGACCAAATATTCCAATTTGTTCTCCATTCATGGTCCATAAACGCATTGTATGATCAGTTGATCCAGTTAAAATAAAATCTGCATGCCCGTTATGATCAGCCCATTCGCAAAAAATAATTGGCGATAAATGTGCTTGCCATGAATTTACAAGTGGAGGTGTTGATTGTTCAAATTGAATAGGTGATGTTATTGAACAACAATAATTTTCAATATTCCAAATGCGAATTTCTCCATGTGTATCACCACAAATTAAATGGTTATTTGTTGTATCAGTACACATTGCTAAAATTGATTCACCTGGTTTTGATGAAGCATAAAATGTTCCCATATCTTTACGATCACCATAAAGTGACCAGCAATATATTTTTCCAGCTTCACTTGATAATAAAACGCCTATTAACATTTGAATAGTTTTCCAAATAAAAATAAAATAAATTTTCTTCTCGAACAAAATGCCTACCCAATTTCATATTTTCTTTAGCTCGATGTCGAAGAAAAAGAAGTTTATCCACTGGCACTGGAGTATGCCGTTTGGCTCGACGTGATGATGATCGATGACTAATAAGTTAAAATATAAAAAAGAAAATAATCCTAATCAAATCAATATTTTCCCTTACAAGCTTTGTTTTGGTGCTTTACGTAAACAAATAATTAATTTTTCTGTATCTGTACTCCAGACATTTATTTCACCATCATATGACGCTGTACACATAATATTACTAATTGGTATTAAATTCTCCATACATAATATATCATCCCGATGTATTTGTAAACCACGCCATGATAAATCAGCTTTAGGTAAAACAAGCTAGATGAACGTAAAAATAAAAATAAATTCGAGTAAGTTACTTATTAAATCAAAAAATTATTTTGTTAACTAGTCAAAATAAGAAGAAACTATTTGACTAGTAAGATTATAGTATATTAGAATATTAGTACATTGTTGTTATTTTTTAACTCGATAAATACCTCGCTTGCGTTTTTCTGATCATCAGCTCGATCCTAAAATAATATTCATATCTATATTTTATAAGTCATATGTTAAATATGAGTACTTCAGATATTATATCAGGATATTTAACAATTTTTCTTGACCATCCAACTGTAATAACACCTTTATCCGTAAAAAGAATTCCAGTTATTTCTGCATCTTCAACACTTGGTAATATGTGAAGATTTAAACCATTAGCACTATTCCAAATCTTAACCATGATGAAAAGTAGATATTTCAATAAAAGACAGACAACTATGGAATCATACTTTAATAACACCATTTCTAGCCCCTGTCGCAAATTTTCGACATGATCGATCAATAGAAATACATGTAATTTCTTCTCCATCATGAGCATCAGGAATGAAAAATGTTTTATGACCGGATTCTGTATCCCATGCACCAATACTCGAATTATCTGCACATGTTATTATCTCAACATATGAATAATAGTATAAAAATTAATAATAAAAAATGCATCAAAAATATTTACTTGTCTAAGTTTAGGATTATATACAGCGCAACTAATTGGAGCAGAATGTGTTTCTGTTAAACTTCCTTCTTTAGCAGCCTCTTGTCCTAATTTCATAAGACATATATAATCATTACATGCTAAAACTAAGCCACCGGGTAAACTTGTTTCAACATGGTTTGCTGATGTATTTAAATATAAATCAGTTGGAAACGGACCAAAACTGGGTGTTTTACCACCTAATGTACTTGGAAATCGAATTGGTATTGTTTGAAGGCACGTATATTCTTTTAAATCCCAAGCTTTAATAACCTATAAATTGAATATAATAAAAGAAAAGAAGACTATCGAAGACAATCCATACTGCATCTTTACTAAATGTATAGCATTGTATTACGCGTTCATTAATTTTAATATCAACTACTGCTGCATGATGTCCTTCTAAAATGGCCATATTTTTCTGTGTTACATATGGATTCCAAATACGTGCAAGATAATCAGCACCACCCGTAATTAACATATTTAATTCTTTACTATAGTCGAAACATTCGCAACCCTACAACAAAAATAAAGAAGAACATCCTTTTCATATACTTTTGCAATGTTTAATACAACAACTGAGAGTCAATCTCTTTTTTTCCTACTTATTTACTTTATATAATCGAAAGACGTATGGTTTCTTTAACTTATTAACATTTGTAATAATTAACGAACTACGATGATCTCCACTCGATGCAATAATTGAATTATTATGTGGTATATAAAGTATTTTACGAACATATTCTCGATGAATAGCGCCCATACTATAATATCGAACATATTTTTCATGATCTTTCAATTCCTAGTGAACAAAGAAAAAGAAAGAAAAAAGCGTTAAGAATATATTTACAAAAATTTCTAGAAACTAACATCCCAAAAAATACGTTGAACAGTATTACTAGTAGCTTTATCAGCTTTAGTCTGATCATTTTTACGTCGAAGTGGATCAAATAAAGCATTAACAGGATTTTTAAAATATAATATATGTATTAAACCACAATCATCGCCAAACATCAAAGCTGATTCGTTGTTACCATTCTAGAAAAAACAACAACAGAATGTTCGCTTTTGAGCAAAACAAAAAATAGAAAGTTGATTTTATGTACCATACGACTAGGATAATAATCCAGACAAGTTGGTACATTTTTAACACCTGAAATAAAAAATAGAAATTTCTAAATTTATCGCTCATTTTTGTTGTCTAATTTACCAAATAATGCAAATTCTTCAAGAAATGTTTCATTTGAAATAGTAAAAAAACGTAAATCTCGACTGGTCGATGAAAGCACTAATTTATGTGCATCAGTCAAATAAATTGCATCTGTTATCCACATTCCAGCTCGACGACGACTTTGTCCAATGCCACTAACATTATTATTGGTTCCATCGTCAAGTTCATCAGCAGCTGAATATGTTTTTTCTAGATTTAAATTTGTTGTCCATAATCCTAAATAACCTTCTTTACTAATATTAATGAATTTAACTGGGTTTTCTAGATGAAGAATTTTCGCAGTTAATTCTTGCTATTAAAGAAAAATAAAAGAATTATAATTTATTATTAATCATATTTATTATAACATAGAATCGAATACAAACTTTATTATGAAGTACATGACGAAGTTTTGGTTCATTATTAAATGGTGATACACGAGACGTATTTTCATAATCTTCTTCTTGATAGAACTGAAGCATGTAAGTACAGAAGTCATTCCAATTAATTAGTCCCGTCTCTTTCGAATTGAGCTAGGTTACAAAAAAAGAAAATTTCGACATTTTTCTTAAATCAAACTTTTCTTTTTTTCTTTTTTTTTTCTATAAATACTTTATCGAATAATTTCTCTAATAATAGTCCATATTGACTTGAATCTAATATAGACTCAAATGCTTCAATAAATTCTTCTTTATTTAATGAGGCTGAAAAATCAACAACATAGAATAGTGTTCATTCAAAATAAAATTCTTCTTACCAGATATTTTATCATTTCTTTTAGTCGACATATTAATCCTATCTGCGATGGAACGACTAAAACGTTGACGAAGTATACGTAAATCTTCGACACGTAGTTTTTTCTCAATATTTACTTCATCATCACTAAAAATAGATATAAATAATTTTAACAATAATGCATTCTTTATTTTTTATATCTCATCATCGAATTTTTCATTAATATTAATTCATAAAAAAACATAAACATTTACGTTTCTTAGCATATCATCTTTTTAAAATTCAATCTGTTATAGTTCATAGAGAACAGAACGTAAAGAATAGAAATGAAATATTAAAATTTGACTCAATACAAATAAATAAATATTATATAATATTATGCATATCAATTACCTATCGATTCCAAGAAAAAGACCACCATTATCAGGTGTATCTATTCCATCGTCACTAGTCAAGTTTAAATTGGCAGTTGTATCCATTATTTTTTTATTATTTATTCTCTTCCGTGTATTATTGAGTCGTTGCAACAAGCAATGTTTTTATTGTCCGTTAAATGTTGACAACATCATTAGTATCGATAAAATTGTTGTCGAGATCAAGAAAAACAATTTTTTTCAATCGATTTTCTTTTTTTTTTACGTTTTTCAATGTTTCATCGTTGCTCCTATACATAACATGTTGTCTGGGGTGCTCGTTTCTGTGGTTGTCACCTTGTTAACAACAGTAGTCACTTAGTTCTTTTTTTTGTCAATAGAGAACAGAATTAAAAAAAAAATTAGAATTGAAAAGAATAAAAAAAAGAAGTGAAAAAAGTATGTGTTTGCTATTATACATACAAAAGAAGAACTAAACAAATCAAAAATCAATGTATGTATAGATTCAACACGCAAGACAAACAATGTATAAGTGAAGAAGTTTAAATACTTCTTTTTTTCAATTATTATGTTTCTTCATTCTATTTGCTCATAGAGTATCAATTCTTGCGAATCAATTCATTGTATAAATAAAAATACAGATAAAAATGATAGCTATTAAATAAATATCCCCCTTAATAGGCGATAAAATAGCATTATTTGGTTAAAATTTTATTAAGAAGGATAATCGACAGAGAAAAAGTTGAATGATAGAGAATAGATGGTAATTGAGTTATAACTAAGATTATCAACAACATATAATTCTATAGTATGAGATTAGAAAAGAAGTCTAAGATTTTCTAATGAGAAGTAGAAAAATTGATCACAGAATATAAACTAAAAATAATAAGAATATCTATTTAATATAAAACTAAAGCTAGCTTTTCCAAAATCACGTTTGATAAAAAATACAGTTTTTTAATATTTTGTAAGAAGAATCGGCTTAAATTCAATTAGCAGACAAAAATCATTGTTTGCTTTTCATCAAAAACAAGGATCCTATATAAAAATTGTATCCGACAAGAACTATGCTTATACTATTACATTGCAAAGTATCGAGATAACGAAAATGCAACAAGTTGACTTCCCTTACTACAGAAATATCTGTTTCAAAAGTAGTCACCCATTTAGGAACTTGATAACAGATTCTCGACATCGAGAAACTTGAATCAGTTATGCCGTACTTGTAATTGCCCGTCTGAGTTTTTGATTGACTTAAAGAAAAATGACTACTTTTGTAAAGTAGGTTTTTTTACTGCAAAAAAATTAATCTACGTACTTTCCATTTTTTCCTGAACCAGTAGTAGGGCCACAATTGCTGTAGATTTATCGATTTTTCCCGTACTATATAGTAGTTTTCCATTCATACATATGAATCAGCTTATGAGAAAAGGTGAGAAAAATAGAGCTACTTAAAATTATGTACATATTACTGAATCTGCTTCTCAAGATCTATCATTTAAATTAGAGGTTATTTAGTACAGAAGAGTTTTCCCCTTAGAAAATTCTCTTGAAGAATTTCAAATTTTGATGCAACATAATTTTTTGAAACAAATACATAAAGATATCAATCATGTTTATGTTGCTGAACATTATGATACAAATATTTATTTGTTTAATTTTTTTTCTATTGAAATAACTATTGATTCATCACTGTTGTTTATTGTTCTATGTATCTCGAAAGACTCTTTGATTCCTTTTGGTTTCTGACGAGAATAGGTTGCAGGACGAAAAACAATTTAATGAAAAATAGCCTTCACAATCGTATTAGTTTTACGTTCATCTTTGCTCAACATTTAAAAGCATAATACGTATCAAATAAAGAAAAATATTAATTTTCATCAGGGATGCTCTGTTTACTAAAAAAAAGAGATATTTTTTAATCAAATCATTACTAACAATAATATTGTCGAATAACTCTTTGTAAGATACATATATAAAATCTTTCGTAATCAGATATGATGAGAAAATCGATAACTTAAGGACAATAGTCGTCAATGAAACAACAGACTATGAGTTTTCAATAGTTTTAATGTTTGGTTCGTAAACTAAAGACTGCCCTTGAATAGATGTAAAATGTTTAAAGATTGTAGATCTTGATTATATTCTTAGAAGTCCTAGAATTGGAATTCGGCTATTTTTAAAATCATATTGAATTGAGCCATTGACATTCTACAATTCAGAAAAAACATGACGATAGATTATTTGATATGTACGTTACTTTTGTCTTTAATGCTATTATCAGAGATTCCTGCCAATTAGACAACAATAAAAATCTAAAGGAAATACTGGTATTTATTGATAGTTTTGATATTTGACATTCACGAATCATAGAAACATATTGAAACATCAATTACACTCATCATAAAATTATTTACATTGCGTCGACTATGAAGAGTCATACGATAAATACAAAGTAATAATAAAATATTTTGAACCATCTGAATTTTATATTTGGTTGCAAAAAGCTTAATGTAAAACTAATAAGACATTTTGATAGAAATTCATGCGAGAATTTTTTTAATTCATTTTTCAAACCTAAAATAGAATATTTAAAAAGTTGCGAAACAACTCGGCCTTATAGACTTAATTTTCTTTTTTAATTATTCATGAAAATAATATTTTAGTATTTCTTTTTTTCCGCAAAGGATCAAGATTATTGAAACTTCAACAGGATATTGATTCAAAAGAGAATTCTTAAAAATTCATTTTTTTCGTATTTTTGTACACTTCTTTTGTTGTTACTCGTATTAAACTTATCTGCCATAAGCAATTAGTTTTTCATTATTCTTTTTCATCTCTACTTTTATTAGCATAAATTAGAATTAAAAGTTTTTACTACTTCGTACTGTGCCTATTTATATCGTCAAGGTCTCATTTTTTTCAATTTTATTTTTAAATAAATCATCTCATGAATACGATAGATGAAATATCTAGCGATGTAAATATCAAACTTGTCTCATGATCTGTTCTATCGTAGGATATTATAATCTACGGATTCCAAGTTTAATAATATGTAATATCATTCTGTTGTACTTGTTTAATCTAATCATCATATTAGCTGATAGACAAATGAAATAGATATAAACAGTTTATATGTTTGTTCATACGTACTCTATCCTTATTATCTATATTCTTTTATTGTTAATTATTTTTCATTTGAAATATATTCGTAAGCTACTTTTTCTTCTTAGATCCGATTCACATGATCTGAGTTGAAATAGAATTCAGTACTAAGACCAAGAGAAAAAATGTCGAAAATTTTAAGATATCGTAATTGTTAATTTGAGTGCAGATGTACGTATATGCATCAGGGTGCGTACGAATGTCAGTGTGTGTGAAATTAGTATCTAAATGAGTTCGCATTTACGTATAGACTGATGTGATTTTCAGTAAGGCGTGTGATGCTAGAGTGTAGGACGCAGATGCGGGTGAGATGAAGACTTAAGTTCGCGTCTGCTATGATTCTTGGAATCCATACAACTTGAAATTGTAACTTTCTGATTGAACGTGGTAGTCTGCAATTTTAAGAGATTTTATTTCGGCATCGTTTTGTTTCACTCTTAGTGTCCGATATTTTTTATTTCAGCGTTTTTACATTCAATCATTAAAATAGCAGTAAATACGTGGATAATTATATGAAATTTGTTTTTCCATTATACTAACTGTTATTGGACGGTGCCTATCGTCCCAATAACCTCTATGCTATTTTCCTTTGTCTCTTTCTATTTGATTCGTCTTCGAAGTATATATTAATATAGATCGATAATCTAGTATATACAAAAGAGAAGAGAGAGAAGAGAAGGGTGTGGAGATATTGAGTTGTCTCCGTGACAAACGGAGCGACTATGTCGTTCGTTTATGATCGTTATCGTTATCGTCGATTACCGTTTCGTTTTTTTGTTACTTTCGTTATAAATAAAATAAACGAATATTTATAACCAAATCCTAACACTAACCTCAGAGATACATCATTGTGAAAATAAAGACTATTTCTTTAATTTTTTTCTCTAATTAAATAAATATTGAAGAATAATATCCGCAAGGATTCTTTTTTCTCTAGATTTAAAAGTGCTAATATCTACTATTTTTTTAAACAATAATAGACATGTTTACAGATGCTCTATTGATCTCATTGCTTGTTTTAGCAACAGTGCAAATCAATCGGCATGTAGCATTAATAGTGCTCGTTTTTGAAACTATTGGTAATAGTCTCAATATTTGGGTATTGAGTGAACGATGTTTGAGTGAAAATCCATGCTCGATTTATCTCTGGTGGTCTTCTCTTTCAAGTGTCTGTTTTATTCGGTCAGGAGTAATTACTCGAGTACTTCAAGGGTATGTATCAAATAGTTTGCTAATGCATTTGAGTGAATAGACACTTTGATGTTGTCGCAAACAATAATTAATTTCACTAAGTGAATTTATTTTTGTTTCGAAGCAAGTGATGATTTTTAAGATTAATTAGGGATTCCTATCGCCGCTTAGTTACAGTATCAACTGGGCTAATCAAAATCAATTTCTCTGTAAGATTCGACTCTCTATTTCATCAATATGTTTTGCAGTAGCCGCATGTGCTCTTGTCGCTGCTAGCAGTGGCCGATATCTACATAGCAGCCGTCTAGTTAAATATCGAAGTTTTAGCACGGTTCAAACAGCAAGACGACTGCTGATGATTATTTCTACTGTATGCATTCTAGCATACACAGATGTTTTATATTGCTATCAAGCAAGTGTTCCTAATGTTCCTGTTGCTTGTTATCCTCAAAGTTTTTCATGTCGATTGTACAATGATTGGATGCTCATTATGGTCAATACAATTATTCCAAGTTTTAGTATGGTTAATTTTGGTTCATTAACCATTCGTAATATTCGACCAGGAGTTATTTATCCAATAAAACGTTGCGATCTTCCAAATGATATTGTAAATCATAATTTACGATTGCGGCGAAATGATGGTAATATCAGCTGAATGCTATTAATACAGGTTAGAATTAAACAGGTGGTTTTTGGGTGTGAGTGTTCTTTGTATAATCCTTTGAGACAAGAACACGAGTAGCAACTTAATTGAATAATTTTCGCGATGCCCTAATGCTTGTAAAACTGTGAAGTCAGAATGGTAGACATTTACTATGTTTGAATCAAATCAAAACCATACACATGCAAAGTTATATGGTATCATACAGATGAGAATTATATGTGAACCATAAACTCTCTGTTTTTCATTACTACAGAGACATTACCTGAGTTTCTCTATTTAAGTACAAATTTCTTTGTCATCTTTTCAATTAATTTTTATAGAAATATATGTATATATAATATGGCATCGGTTCATTGTTTCTGTAATTCGACTTTATTCCTATTCAGATTTTAATCGTAGATAAATGACTGTCATTGTCTGCAGGAGAAAAGCATAGATGGGAAGTAAGGGGCCGCATGTTTTTCATTTAAATTGTAACACACCTTTTACATTGAATTTGTCATCGTATTTTGTTTTTTTGAATGCACAGGTTTTAGTTGTTCTTCTACTGAATTTACCAGTTACAATTCAACGTATATATACCAGTTTAACAGTAAACTTTCCAAAACGTACTCTTCGTATAGACGTTGAAAATCTGATTTACTCTCTAATTGTATTACTTTCTTTTTTCTCTTATTCAATATAATTTATTTATACATTTTAACTGGTGCAATATATCGAGCAGCATTAAAACGCGTTATTCGACGTTTATTAGGACACAATACATTTTCACATAAAAAGTTGAGGAATAGTTGGATTTCTATTGATGATCTGAAACTTACATTTATACTCGTGCTTGTTGCTGTATTATATTTATCTTTGAAACTATTTAATGTTTATATGGAGAGAAAAAAGAAGGTGAATTTTTTGTTGAGCTTCTTAATAAACATTAATTTTCATCCTCAAAAAAGCAAAAAAAGAAGAAATCAAGACACATTAAATGGCTATAGTAAACATTTTCTAAAGATTTTTAATCGCTTTAGTTTTATAGTTTGAATATGCCGCAATTTGAATATGGTGAATTTCAAATTATTAGGTTCATATTGAATCTTTCAATAGAAAGATCTATTGCATACAGGATTAGTTTTCGATGTTTGCATGATAGGAAAAGGGATAAAAAATGCTTCAGAGAACATTTGAAAAAACCTATCCTGTGTGATTGCATGATCGTTCATGAGTTATTTTCAACCATTAAAATGATAGATCATAATTATTTTCCTTTTTTTTACAAACTTCACTGTATTGTAATATGGATAATATATCGAAATCTATTGATTTCAATTTTCTTTTTTCTAGAATATTTCTTTTAACATATCAAACTTTTTGTAAGGAATAAATAACTTAACTTCACTTGGCAAACAACTAAATATCATGGTACAGATATTAACAATACAATATGTACTATGTATTTTTGAAGGAGGGGAGGGGGGGCATAACAAGTTTGTAGAAATGTACACTGAATGCTTTGATAGCAATTTCAAATCGATTCAATTATGTTTAGTGTGGAGAATTGATTGAGAGCAACTTTTACGAGCTACAAAATCGTATTCTTTCCATTGTCAACAGAGCTTGATCAACTGTGAAATCGCATGGATAGTATTCAAAAGGTAGGATTCTCTGCATTTTTGGTTACTTTTTGAGAGCTACTTCCAGAGAAAGTTACTATTATAACAAAAAATAATAACACATCTGGAATCAGCATCCAAGTCTAACGTAAGTTAGTTTACAAGAGTTTCTACTTCTTCATGAAATGTTTAATTTTTTCGAAAAATTCCCCTGTGGCACTCCTCAGGCTTCAACCAAAAATGAATTTCACCCAAAACTAGTATAGACGATTGCAATTAATAGCGAAGCTTATGAAATCTTATTTAAACGTGCAATGATGAGTTTTCGAATTATAAAACAAAGATTTTGATGAAATTCATTTTTGGTTGAAGCCTGAGGAGTGCCGCAGCGGAATTTTTCGAAAACATTAAACATTTCATGAAGCAGTAGAAACTCTTGTAAACTAACTTACGTTAGACTTGGATGCTGATTCCAGATGTGTTATTATTTTTTGTTATAATAGTAACTTTCTCTGGAAGTAGCTCTCAAAAAGTAACCAAAAATGCAGAGAATCCTACCTTTTGAATACTATCCATGCGATTTCACAGTTGATCAAGCTCTGTTGACAATGGAAAGAATACGATTTTGTAGCTCGTAAAAGTTTGCTGTCAATCAGCAAACAAAGATCTACTTCAACACTTCTTGGCAAATTTTTATGAGTCTGAAAGTAGAGAGCTTCAGCTAAAAAACCTCGAATAGTCAGCCATCTGATCAATAGAATATAGTAAAAGGTTTATTCAATAAACTCGTTCTTCTAGGAATCGATGCAACATTAAATGCTCTATCTAATGAGACTAATCTCATCTAGAAGTGGTATTGCTGTAAATATGTAACCCCAAGACGTTGCATCATGTGAATATCAACATTGGCTAAAGTAGTATTTCCAATATTATCCAAACTAAACATAATTGAATCGATCTGAAATTGGTATCAAAGCACTCGGTGTACATTTCTACATCGAAATATACCAAATTTTAAACAATTTAAAATATTGGCCGATTTGGCTTGTTATGCGCCTCCCTCCCCCTCCTTTCTATTTCATGAGGTATAAATTCTTAATTATCGCTAGTAGTATTTTATCTATTAATATGATAGATTTTCAATCAAATATATTGCGATAATATTCAATATCAATACCAATAACTATATTATTTCCATTTTTTAAAAATTTCTTATAGGATTTTTTTTTATTTCTGATCACTTCTATCGTTTCTAATATTGACATATAACAAAAACCAAACAATAAATTGACATATTGACATTAGTAAAGAGTCTATCTTAATATTTGTTCATTAAACTAACATTTTAAAAATACTTTTGTTTTGAAGAATTTTACCAGTTTGATCTAAACAATGGTTTCATATACTCGGTTATTCATTTTTTCGACGAGTAATAGTGGTGTATTAGTTTCATCCATTGGTGATAACGAAACAATTTCGAGTTTAGGTGACTTTTCCGGTTCAGGTGTATATGTCACGGGTAGTACTAAGAATGATAGTTTACTTTTATTTGCATTATTTCTATCATCTGACATTATAGCGGGTGGTTGTAATGATCTTTCCGTCTCCAATTGATGAATACGTTTATTCAGCATTTCAATACGTTTTTGTAATTGTTTTTCGCGTCGAACATGAAAACTATCATGTTCATTCTTAACAGCCATCATAGGTTTGTAATCCTTAAATTATTCACTAAGTATTATCAAAAGAAAACAATTTTTTTCCTACTTGTCGAGCTTTAGTTTCACTACTAACTTGTTTTGATCGAGTGACAAAACGAGAATACACATTTTCACAAATAAGAATAATGATGGCTATAAAAGTACCACCGAGAAGAAGTAGAAAAGCCGAGGTGAAATTTCTTTGCTAAAATCAGCAGTATTTACATATTGAAAATAAAGCATTCAAAAGTGTTACATCTAATTGTTGACTACTGCGTTGTGATTGTTGTTCTATATTGGATTTACAAGCACCTAGTATTCGAACAAGAAGTATTAATATATAATATATGAAATATGACTTATGAAATACCAGTAAACCAAAATCTTCGTAGGCGTTCGATTTCACCAGAATAATGCATTTCAATGATTTCTTTATTAATCATATCTTTAAATTTTGATTGTTTTGGAAATCCAATTCCATAACCAGTCATTGCATACCAATTTCCAACAACACGTAATTTACATTCATCATCTTGTCCACTTAAATAGTCGAGTACAACGGCATCATATAGAAATGCATGTATTTCTCTACAAAAATAAAATAACAATGTAAATTCAAATAAAAAGGAAAAACTTTTGTTAAATGCTTTACTGAGCTTTCAAAGCTTTGACTCCTTCTGAAATATTTCTTTTCATAAATTGTTTCATATATGTATAAATATGTTTATGATTTGTTTTCACGACTTCATCGGTGCTCTAAAAAGTAAAACAATTATGAATTCATTTATAGGCAAATACTCTTTTTAATGTTTTCAACTAAACAATGTAGTGTAAGTGTTGGTTGATTTTGTGTCATTATTAGGTAAGAACAAGATAATCTCTATTCCAATGGAATTACGACAAAAAAAAAGACTAATCGCCGTGATATCTAAGTGTAGCCAAAGAAAAAGTTGTAAAGAATTCTTGGCACCCTCAACTTTACACCCAGAGACAGACTCAATGTTTAGAACATTGGACAGGAGCTGAGTCGTTCCTAGTCCACCTACCTCGCATTTTCATCGAAGCAGTATTGAACAAGATATTCCATGAAATGAAATTACTAGTAATATTGAAAGATTTTCTAGGCAAACTTTTTGTAATTCCTGCATAGAAATCAGGTAAGATGAAGTTGTTGAAGACAATTGTAAAAATGACTAACCAATACAAATTAAATGTTAACAACTAACTATTATTTTTATCTATCAAACTTAAATTAATCAATTATTATTTCATATGTATCAATAAATTGACGCGTACAACATTATTATCATAGAATCATCACGGTTGTTTTGATTAGGTTTATCCTACTTTGGTCGAAAGGTAAATATATCGAAAGTAAATGTTTCGAAGGAGAAAGATGCCGACAGAAACAAATCTCAGCAGGAAAATTTTCTAAATAGAAAAACAACGAAAAGGGTAGTATGAACCGATTGGTAAATACACTTATATTGTGATTATAGTTATTGGTTGATTGCGTTACCCATTAATTTCTTAGCTCAAATTCAGGTCTTTGTCGAGTAAAAGGCAACAATGACGCCGTTGCTGTAAAGATTATAGAAAACAATATTCAATAGTAAAATTTTGATAAACATTACGTCGATTTCTCGGGATTCAAGTTTTGATGCAAGCGAAAACTTATTCTTCATTACATCAAGCAAAGATCAACTATGATTAGTTATGAATGAACAATTATACAAATGTAATATAAGAAGACGGCTCGTAAAAAATATTAAATTGGTATTGTTAGTGGATGCTCAATGGTAGTTCATAGATGAAAATGATTTTTATTTATACGAAGGTAAATGTGATCATCATCATCAATAAAATTCAGACGTCCTTCAACTCATTAGTTGTTGAAGCAGAAAAGAAACGTATAGAAACCCAATTTGCAACAGATGATTAGTTATTCATCAAGTATGATTCCGGTTTTTTAACAAATTTTTGCTTCAAAAGGTTTTTTGATAAATAAAAGTTTTGAATGAAACAAAAATTTAATCTTTCTTAACGCACAGAACTAAAATAAGAAATATTTTGATATTTATCAGTCGAAATTTTTACTTTTCGACATCGTTACTTTTAGACATTTTTACCTTTCGACATTTTTACTTTCGACCAAAGTGGGGTTCACCTTTGATTATTACAAGAGAACCACCAATCATGTTCTTAATTAATTATAGTATGTGGAATCATTGCGAACTTTCTTTTCCGCAGTACATCAATATCAATATATTTCGATATTCATGAATAGCATTGAATATATTTTCTTGATAGATAATGCTTATTATTAAAATGATCGTAAACAAAGACATCATGATATTTTAATTTGCATAAAAATTAATCTTCAATAAGAATCTTTTTTTCATTTTATTTTGAAATAACTATTTAAAAAACATTGTGAATTATGTGCTAAATCTTAGTGTCTTCTCTTAGTTTTCACGTTATTTTTCTAATGAATGTATACTAAATAAACTCCTCCATAGTTTGACAGCTCTGGGGTAATACGTAATAGCTGTCTGCTGTACTTCCAGTATTCTATATAATCTCATTCACATCCTCTCTTCTTCTCTTACTATAAAATAACAGTTTTTCGATAGTGATTTACATATATATAAGACAAAGTAGTACCAATAAGACTTTCATTGAGAAAAAATAATGAATCATACTTACTCCGTTCGCAACAGTTCCAAATCGAAATGGTGGTTTCACTGAATGAGGATTTGCGATCTGAAATTTAATGGAAGATTTTAATAAAAATTAATTTCTCTTTCTAAAATCGTTTTGGAATAAAAAGAAAAAGATAACATACGCGATGATCAGTTATACCAGACAGATCAAAATAGACATCTTTCGTAATCATAAAAGCCGCTGCAATATGTTTAAAAAATATTTTTAAAACAATTTAATACGAGATTGTGCTAACCTAAATTAGCTGTATAGCTGGCAGTGAATGCCAAACAAAAGCATGCCCAAATATTAGCCATAAATTTGGATGTGAAACCTTTTGGATTATTTACTTTCGCTGGTGCACGAAATAAAATAACCCAACTGAGCCAAACAGATTGAAAAAAAGTTATATTCAAATCTAAATAAAAAATCATATTTGAAAATTTTCATAAAAGTAGATTGAAAGTAGAAACCTTTCTTTCTTTCAGGGCGGAAAAGATCAAGTATATGTTGCCATGGAGAAGCATAAATCAGTTCACCACTTTCAATATCCTATCATACAACAAATAAAAAACACGTATGTAATAGAGTAAGCGTATCAAAGAATGATGAACACGAAAACTTGAGTATCATTTCAAGTATCCGAGAAACAGCCAGGAACAGAACAGTTCAGCATGACAATATTCACCGCCGAACAGTTTAGTAAATGCACGAAATGAAGATAAACAATATGAACTCACATGTGAATGTTAATTAAAAGAACACTCGCCATCAATGCAATTCATTGAATCAGAAAGCTTTTATTTATATGAGAAATAATATTTTTAACTGATAAATTACGTGTCACAATATATTTATCTAGTTAGAAAATTGAAGAGAAAAAACTAAGCTTGAGCCTTAGAGTCAATTGAAAGCTACAAAACGACTAGGTTGAATTACATTTACTAGGTTCCTTTAATTTTCTTATGTAAATTATATGGTACTCTCCATTCTGTCTCGTTTCATTGTCAAATACAAATATCTATCAATATTTATGATCGAACAATTTCTTAATATACTTGATATGAAATAAAATCATTTTTAAATATAAAAATTCAATGACCGATTTGAATAAATACCTAGAAAAAACTGATGTTCATATTTATATTTAGAGTGTAGAAATGTGTCAAAATCTAGCATCTCTATATATCTCTACAAGAGATAGTTATTGTTGTAGATATTTATTGACAAGGATTTGCTTTCGTATACTTGTTTGAATATTATAACACTCATATTCGCACCAAAAACATAACGAGACAACTAAGATCGAACATATTTTATTTGAATGAGATCATATCTGATGTGAAATAGAGATAACGACCTAGAACCTCAAGTTGGTTTTGACCTTGCTACACTTTTACTATAGGCTTAGTCACATTTTATACTTTCATTCTTGTATGCCTAATTAACTTTTTTAGATTCCAAGATTTTTTCGTTCTGAATTTTTCTCATGTTTGTCAGTTTTTGTGTTCATCATTCTGGTTCCCAAAGTACACATACATGCTGCATAGGATGGGCAGTAAATCTTTTTTGAAAATATTCAAATAGAAAAACCATAATAGCAACACCGTGAAGTGTTACTAATAGAATGAGAATCCATATTCGATAATCATAAGGTTCTAGAAAAGAAAAATGTGTCATGATTTATTTTTTTCAACGAAAAATCTTTTACTAACTGAGAAATGCTGTGGTCGAAATAGCACCACGTCGTAATGATACAATTAAAGCGATGCCCGTTTCCATAAGTGGAACACTAAAATCAATAGCTAAATTTCGTTCCGTAGTGACTTTTAGTGATGTTAATGTTAAATCAGCTCGATTTTCAAGAAGTTCAGCTACAAGCCCATTCCATTTATTCTGAAACAAAGGCGAATGAATCATTGTTTATTGTAAAACCAAAAGACGTCCTAAGATTACAGTCAGCGGATTTCTTCCACCCCATGTTCGATCAGGTACTTGATAAAGTTCAAATTCAAATTTAAGGCGATCTTTAAGTATACTGAATATGTCAATATAAAATCCTGAACAACATTGAAAATGGTATGGATCACTATGATTAGCACCTCTGAACATAATATAAATGAACAAATAATGAAAAAGTGTTTTAAAGAATATTTTTCATACGAATTTTCTGGTCCGACACGACAGATAACCGAACCTGCTTGACATTGTCCGTCAAGAGATGGGTCTTTAAGCATAACAAATGGATGTTCCTCAAGTGTTGCTACTCTTAAATAATAAATAACAGGTTTTCCTGGAGGTGGTTTTGATCTTTCACCTGGCCATTGAATATCAGCTATTGTAAGTGTACTATTTACATATTCACCAACCTGTGAATTGAGCATTGATGAAAAACAAAAATATATATTTTTATAAAAAAAAAATGATATACTTTTTTCCATTCTTTATTCGGCACTTGAAAGTTTAATACAGAATAATTACCAGCAACAGCTAAACCATCTTGTTGAAAAATTCCATATGCACGCTTAAATTCATCTTTTAATAAACTAGATAAACATTGAGATCTATTAAATAATTTTCACAATGGTAAATATTTACTGATAAAGATTAGGATATTTGTGTACTAAAAATGGTTGATTCAATGATGTGTTAGTAGAAAATAAACGAGCGCATGCTAGTCGGTCACGATATGAAGGACGTTTTGATGCTGTTACATTTTTATTAATTTGTTTTAATTCATCCAAATGTGTAATTTTAGAAAAAACATTTATTAAAATCGGTCCAATATATTTATCGAACCGAGCAAGAATCGTATCTATTATTTTTATTCGCAAAGAAAAATAATTAACAAAAATTTGTCGTGAATATTTAAATAAAGAGTAAATTTTACCTCGAGTGACATCATTGTATAGTGCTAAATAAAAATAACATGATTATATCGTCTTGAATAGTAAGTAGAAAATACGAACATTTATGGAGAAAATGTAAAGTGTTATGCTAGAGTCAGATTTTTGTATTATATTCTTTTCTAAAGTTGCCCAGTAAGAAATTGAAGTCAATTTTTTGAAAATTCTGAGAATTAATTCTCGATAGAAGTAACTGCGGAAATAAAACCTAAAAACGATAACTCTAATTCTATTGTCATTGAAATTGATTATGTGCTATTTTTTATTTTTCACATACAAGCACTTCATTTCACGTGGTCTCACTGTTTTTTGTTTCGTTGCTTCAAGTATTGAAATTTCATGAGTCAGTACTGAAAGAAAATACATTGTTAATAACAATAAGGCTCATATTGATTGGATACGTTTTTTTCTTAATATTTTTACACAATATCAAGAGCAACAGACTCGTCTAAAAAGTGAGTGAAGAGTTGACAGTGGCACAGCCACACTTCATAGATAATCAAATTAAATTCGTAAGTGTACGAATCAAGAAATTTACAGACATCAATGCGTTCTTTTTACAAAATACCCATTGCTCATAAAAGTATTATAGAAGGTTTTTGGCTATAGATTCATTCTATTCAAAGCAGTTTCCTGTTTGTTTTAAACTATCACTGTAACGAATTTTTATTCTGACATAAATGATTGTTGTTTTATCAATTAAAAACTATTCTAGTCTTTTTTCTCGGCTTACTCATAATTTCTAACCAATACATATTACAAAAAAACTGATCATATATTTGAAAAAAAACACGGTAATTCCGATTCTAATTTAGCTAATACTTTCAATTTTCTTCTTCTGTATACAAACCTAATGTGCCCGCAAAAAAATCTATTTTTCTTCGATTTGGATTATCAAAAGGATTCATTTTTGGTTCAGTTCCACTGCTGTATGTTGCTACAAATAAGAAACTTGTAATATTCAAATAAAGTTTGCTTTTAAGCTTACAAAGTACAATCGACGACATAATCCACATATATTCAGCTCCAGTAAGACTCATATTACTTGCTTGTTTAACAATTAATGATGCTAATGTTCTAATTAAAATGTAAAATATATATATTAAGAAAATATATTTCAAGAATTGACATACGATGTTGTATGTATAATAATAACACGTGTTTCAGGGTTCATAAATGATAATTGTTGTTTTATATGTACGGGATTCGTACTGCTCATATGAATTTTTGATAGAATAGTTAATCTAAACATGCAGAAAATTAATAAGAAAAAATCTTTTATCAAAACGTTCCTTTACAAACTAGGTCTTTCCATCGTAATTAAGTCATTCTATTTTGATTGACAACGTACTCATGGGAACAACGAACTCATTGATTCGCATAATTGACATTTTTCTTTTCTGTGTGTCTCAGTCCCAGTTGTCTACTAACAATTATTTTCAATATTTAATAGCTTTCTAGATAAAACAAAATCAATAAACTCATTTATTTGATTAGCTAATCAGAGTAAAAAGAAAATTCAGTTTTCTCTTACAGGTTTGTGTAGTTCAATTGTAAGCTACTTAATTAAGAAAGAATACTACTTCCAAAAGCAACTGATATTCACGCGCATGGAATAAGGAAATATTATTATATTTACTTTTTCTGTCCTTTCAGATGAATACGATTGCAGAGGTTTTTTTTGCTAAAACATGTTAATGACAATTATAATGATCATCCTATCTAAGAAGTTTACCAATTTCTTTGTTCATTTTCATGCATTTCAAATTCGTCCGTAAGTTCTTCTTCACCTGGTAAATGCGGATCGATAATTAATGAAAATGTATTCCAATCATATCGTTCCATCAATGATATTAAAGCTCGTGCTTCTTCGCGATATGTTGGAGCCAATTGAAAGAATCGAAAACTTGGAAAATTCTAAACAATTAATATTGACAAAAATCATTCAAAACAGCATAACCAAGCTGTTTTGCTTTTAAACTTACTCCTGGATGGAATGGATGAAAATAATGAAATGTTAACATTGGATACTGTAAAAATGTAAATAATTTAAGAAAAAATATATAAGCAGCCGACGATGCATGATTTTCATTCGTATAATCATTTAAGTAAATTAAAAGCATCGGACGTGCTTGAAAAATTGCACAGAGACTCTCAACTAGTGCATTAACTGATTTAGCATACACCGTGTGAATAGATCGCCTAATTCGAATAGAATAATTTTTCAAACTTCACAATTTTAAACCTGAGAAAATACTTACATATCAAATTTTCCACATGAACGTGAATAGTTTGACATAAAATGTGGTGATGAAAATAGTTTCAATTGACCAAATCGATCATCTGCTCGCGATGATAAACTTGCCAATGAAATATTTATACACGTCATATTTGATAACATGGTTCCATGCGGTTGAAGCTTAACAAAGAATACATTGTTCATCATAATCACCAGTAGTACAAGAAAATTGGATGACATGTTAATTATTCCAAGTTTACCAGACTCAATAAAATGTATATTTGCCATACATACATAAAACCATAAATAATGTCTCTTTTAGTGAATAGCCCTTGGCACCATCATCATCAAGAAAAAACACAAAAAAAGAAGAAGAAAAAAGGCAATTGTATATATACCAATCGATAGTCTAGTGGAGACATGACAAGTATAAAAACGCGAGAACGCTAAACAGGCAGTTGCATTTGTTGTTGATGATGATGATGACGATGTTGATAAGATTATCTTATTATGTTGTGCACATATATAGAAAAAATGTCAGTATTGGTTCGTAGTGAATGATCAACATCTAAGGAAATTTTACGACCATGATAAAATCGTATATTTACGCACATAAATTTGTTTGTGTATTATCTTATCCAACAAGATAATGATCTTTGTCATTCCAAGAAATGATTTATAAGGGAGATTTTCTAAGGATGGATTACAATCTCGTGAGCGAAGTTTCTAATCGTGTCTCGATGGGAATCATCGTATAACAAGAGAATAAAAAATAAATTGAAATTATACGCTTGTCTAAAGACATCAATCTTTATATCTTCTTTAGCTTCGCTTTCGAAACGAAGAGAAAGCATTTGAGTGCATGATTTTGTTGTTGTTCTTGTTGTTAAGCAATATCGAGTGGCAACTACAAATGAAACAATTATTGGAAACGTTCTTTTCTAGCGATCTTAAAGACTATTTCATTATTCATCTTATAAAATAATTCTTCTTTCATATTCATCATGAAGTAGAGATAGCTTTATGCTATTTACAGTTAGAATGAAGTTTATAAACCGAAGTATACGATATAAAATGAAAATCATATTCGCTTTTTTCTTTTCTTTTTTGTTTACCTAAAGAATATTTTGCTTTGCATGGCTTTTTGTTGTTTACTAAGTGATTGAAAAGTAATGTTCTGTACTCAACATTTCGTTGCTGTGAGTTTTTTCATTTTCTTTACGCTCTTAAAATTTGAATAAACGATGGAAGTAAAACCAAAGCAGTAATCACAATAACAACATGGCAGACTCTCAGAAGTAAATCGATGTTTCGTTTTGAAACAGTTTCTTTTGATATTATAATAAATCTTTCTAATCTACCATAGAGTTCAAAATGAAACAAAATTAGATCGAAATAGTGCCACTAGTACAAATGAACTAATACTTGATAATAGTGATGACAGAAATTTCAATGATGAACCATCATTCGATGACGAAGAAACATTAGCAAGAAAAGACAAAGAAAATTCTCAAAAATTAAAAAAATCCGAACCATCACCACCACAGGTTTTTAGCTAAAATAATGAATTTTAATATTTATATATATGTATATTTATTGTGTCACTTTATTTTTCCGTTCAATAACAGAGTCCTACTGACCGACCTTCATTTCGTGGACCATTTGGTATTACAATAGGTAAGAAAATTTTAAAAAAAAAGGAGATAAACTGATTACTATTCTCTACATTTTCCTCCATAATCAATCATTGATTTACGCCTGATATTTTTTATTTTCATCATAGCTTCGGCAGTGATTTGGTACGTTTGTATTGGTATTTTATTCGTTATTTCTTTCATAAGTCTTATCTTATCAGTTCTATACTATGTTACGAGTAAGTTATCATAGATTTTTGTTCATTATTACTAAATTAACGCATTCGTAGATACATCAGAAGAATCAATTATCAAATTATATGGTATTGGGGGTTCAGCCGCTTTAGCTATTGTAACTTTTATCATTATTTTTATCGATTGTTGTAATGATGGAAGTAAGATAGACCATGAACAAGAAGCTTTGTATCAAATGTTAAAAGCTAAAGAAGATCGAGAAAAAGAGTTTGCCTTGCGACGTAGTCGTCGAATAGCAGAAGGGAAGGAAGCGAAACCAAAACCAATAATCATTCCGCACCAACAGCCAAAGAGAGTCACTAGTAATAGTTTGGATCCTCATCCTCATCCTTATCATCATGCTCATTCGCATCATACTCATCATATGCCATTGTTCCCACCTACAGCCTATCATCATCCGTTTGTTTGTCCTGTTTGCCATGATTTACATGCGTCTGGAAATGCTCGACACAATATAACTGACGTTGGTGTGGATACATCAGATAAATTTGCTCCTGTAAACAAAAGTAAAAGAATAATCCATAAGTCAACTCGTGATGCACAGACGGAACCAAAACTTTGGGATGCTGAGCGTGGAACACAAACAGATCGAACTGAAGGTACACAAACATCCACCATGGAATTAAGCGGTATGCCTAGTAATATAACACAAATTATACATGAAACAACAATTTTAAAAGCACCACGAAATCTTTTAAGTACACTGAAAAATTCTATGGCACAACAGGACAAGGATATGGCCATTAATCGGGCTATTAATGATACAAACACAATGACACCAACTATTATTTGAACTTTTCATTTTTGCATTAATTTAAGTAACCTTTTTGAAAATACTTCCTCATGGAACACCAAACGTGTTTCCTATTGCCTCATTACAATTTTTCTAAGAGTTTATATATTATACGGAGTTTTAAGTCATAGTTACGTTGTCTAATGGCTTTGAAAACTTCAAGAGATCAATCAAATACATAAATAAGTTGCGTAACTAGAAAAAAACTCATGTGATTGAGCTTTTTCCTAACGATTTTTACGGAGACTCATGCAAAGTTATGCTGCGTTTCCATGTCACAAAGCAAGCATGCAGCGATATATTTATGATTAAAACTAGATTTTTAAAACGATATTTCATTTATTTAGCTGAAACAGGAATCTTTAAAAAATTTTATCATTTATGCTAATGAAATTCTACTCTCTCTTTGTATTCAAACTAATGAAAATAACTTAGAGAAAACATTTCACTGCTGAAGCACATAAATCGTTCAATACAGTATCGAACTAGTAGGTGTGTGTGTGTGCTTATATTGATTGATCACAGTAGTAAATATAAGACAGATTCTTGCTGGAAAAGTCTACGATACATTTGTATGAACGATTCTACATAAAAACAAAATCAAAAACTTCTTAGTTTTGCAGTTTAGGTTTTGTTGTTGAACTTAGCTCAATTTATACTTAAACACAAAAGTACACTTTTTTTTTTGAAAAGACGATGAAATCAAAAAGCACCGAGTCAGGAACACTGATCTCGAAGTTTTCATCATCGAATACCAGCTTTTAATAAACTTATTGTACGTAATAGAAATAAAGACTTGAATCGAAAAAAAAACAATCTTTGCTGAAGTGATAATCAATCTACGAAAATTAATTATTACTAGAATAGACATCTCCGCATAACGAGATATCTATCATGTCCAACTATATTTTTAATCAACAATCAAGTTATACTGTAGATGTTTGTGTAGTCAAATTTTAAAATAAAAATATATTCAAGATTAAATATAATTACAACTGTCAAACTAATAGAAGCGTTTCAACATATGAGCTTCTAATAATGTGCAAGAACATTCAAATTTTATAGTACTTTTGATGTGCCTTGGTTGCCAACAATGTACACTTGTAGCAGACTTTGTTCCTTCGTTTTATTTAAAGAGATTGGAAAGAGTTCGTCAAGGTGCATGAAAAATGTTTTTTTTTAAATTAAAAGAACTAATTATACTAAACTTAACACATATTTTACTCTCCATTGTATCATGTGTCCCATAAAAATTGATGATAGATTGGCAGCAATACTTCTCATACTTTTTCTTGATAAATAAAAGATTAAAATTTCACCCATACACCTATTCTATCAACGTCTCTAGTTTTCTAAACGTTTGCTCTCGCTAGCTAAAACCATCACTTGCATGGATGAATGCAACTTAAGTGTGTGTGTGTGATTTTTAACTAAGTTCCATTTGATTTTTCCTGCTTAATCAAAAGTTCACCTTCTTACGTGAAGAACAAGTGTAACAACTATTATTTACAATATATCATTAGCAATCATGTGACATTCTTTTAATGAAGTACAAGGATATCTCATTTAATCAAAAGACTTCTTTTTGTAGTATGTTCTCTTTCACTCTTATTATTATTTAGCTAAACTGATAGTTACTATGATTGATACAAACAGAATAAGTTTGCTTTATTTTGAACAAACGAATAAAAGAACAATGAAATATCATTAATGAAAAAGCAAACTTAAACATTTATTTATATGAACTAATGGATATTGTAGAAAGTTTCAATCTAACTCAAAATTTTAAAATCAATCTTTCTAAATAGTTGTATAACCACCATCGGCTGAAAAGCTAGCACCTGTAGCAAAATGGCACAGGTTGGAAGCTAAAAAGACTGTTAAATTCGCTATTTCTTGTGTTGTACCCCATCGTTTTAAACATTGGATTTTCTCTTGTGCTTTAATAAGTTCATCTAGTGTTACTTTTATATTTGCAGCATGATTAGCTGAAGCTGGAGTAAGTATAGCACCAGGACAAATAGCGTTACATCGAATATTAAATGGGCCTAAATCAAGTGCTAAATTACGTGTCATTTGTAGAACAGCTCCTTTCGTTGTACTATATGGTACAAATTCAGGTTGAGCGACCCAACTACTAATACTACCCATTTGAATAATTGAACCTGATTGCTGCTTTTTCATTATAGGAACCACAGCTTTAGCCATTAAAGCATAACCACGTACATTCACATCCAATATTCTTGACCATGCTTCGGCAGTTACATCTTCAACTGCACCAAATGTAAAAATAGCAGCACTGTAGGTAGAAAAATAAAGAACTCTTCTGATTTAACATTTACTGAATCAATACAATAGATAATATACTTATTCACAAGTACATCAATCGTATTCCATTTATCCACAGTAGATTTTACTAAATGTTGAATTGACTGTTCATTAGTTACATCAAGCTCAATAGCCATGGCGTGATCTTTCTTATTTGAATCTTCACCAATGATTTTTGTTGTAGTTTCATCAGCTGCAGTTTTGTTAACATCAGCGACTACAACATATGCACCATGTAATGCACATGTTTGTGCAATTGCTGAACCTATAGCTCCACCAGCACCAGTGACAATTACAACTTTACCTTCCAACAAGTGAGACCAGTTACCACTCGCTTTTGTTGCTTGTTCAGGAATACGAGACATTACTGTTTACGTTGAAATAGACACACGGCTATTTGCTAAAAATAAACTATTCATTCTTTCGTATCTTTGATGTTGACATAATTTTCAAAAAACAAACATTTACATACCTTCAAAAGATATGATTTAAAATGAGCTACCTTTCTCGTAATTATTAATAAATACACTTTCAATATGGGACATCTATATAGAATATTCATACAAAGAATTAATCCCGGCTATTTTTATATAAAATAGTTCAAGAATTGAAAAAGAAATGTAGTTATCATCTCTTCACTATGAGAGTAGTTCTATTGTTGTTGTTTTTGGCAAGAATCACTTCGATCAATCTCATAGAGACCAGCACAAGTAAAACATTTTCAATGCATGAAACAGATTTCGAGAATCTCCTATTTAAATAGAAATATCTCGTTCGAATTCAAACTGAGTTAGAAATATGTTGATGATAAAATTTTAGGCTATAATTCATGTTTTTAACATAAAAATAGAGTGCATAAATAATACAGAATTATCTATCAATGTTGAATAAGCCATCGAGTATCTGTCAATCTGTTGTCTACCCACCTACACCATGTCACATGTGATATATATGCATCTAAATTGAGTGACAATTAACACCATCTATCGTGATCAATATATATATATTTATATGAATTTTATTGAGCGAATAGAAGAGAAAAAAACGTATGTAGAGAGAGAAAAAATAGTGGATGCTAGTGAGTCATTCTCTGTAAATATAAAGAAAGTTCTCTTATTAAATGTATTGGAACACCCGGTGAAAAAAATAATTTATTTTATTTTTTCAATAATAAACAATATAAGTCCGTGTTTTGATCGTGTCTCTTATTTCAAGAATGAATCTTTTTAATGAAAACAATGCATCAGTTCATTTAATTCCGTCTGATCCTAATGCAACCTTTTATATCTTACCAAATGGAATTGGTAAAGATCGTCGTACAATCTTTTCAAATGCTATTCAACATTTTCATCTTCAACTTGTAGCATCACCTGAAAATGCTCGTTTTATTCTAGCTGATGAACAATTTGATTTGCCTAAAGTATTTTCAATATTAAAATTAGACTTATCAGAAAGCGAAGAAAAATCGCTACCAATTGTTATTCAAATTAAATGGTTAACTGATTCGTTGAAAGAAAAACATTTAGTTCCACTAACTAAGGATTATATTTTTCGAACACCTCTCATTCGAAAGAAAACAATGCCATCGTTTTCGCAAGAGCCAGTTATAGAAGAAAAGAAAACAATTAAAAATAAACCGAAACGAAGATTATCTGATGATCAACCTCAAGGTGGATGTGCAACTCAAGTAAAACAAAGACGCTATTCATCTGATGATGATAATAATGATATGATGGAAGTGAGTATAATCTTAAAAGTAGATTTCACTCTAAATGATTCACCTTGATTTTTGACAGGACTATAATGATACAGTTAAAAATCCATTTAAAAATGGAGAATTACCGGTATGTTTTAGTAAATGAAAAAAAAATTGGTTTGCTTTAAATAAAAGGAATCATTGGTTTTATTATTAGAAAGGAAACTGGATGTGCTCGATGTCGTCTCAAACAGCTAAAAAGAATACTGAAATCAATAAAGATATTATTGATAAATTGCAAGCAATGGCTGATCTCTATAATAAAACAAACGGTATGAAGAGAAAAAATCGTAAATTCAAATTATGATCTTATCATTACCACAGAGAGATATGCAAGAGTACTATTTTTAAGGAAATGATATGTTTCTTGAGTCGATTTATTCATTTTCTACTTACTTTGCATCATGAATGATCCTTTTTTGTGTTTGTTTTTGTTAGATAAATGGCGCGCATATTCATATCAAAAAGCTATTACAACCATTCGTCGATGTACAAAACGTATTGATTCCTATGAAGTACAACAGAATGATTCATGTCTAGTTTTCTAAGTAATTATTTTTGATATTTTCTCATTTTAGGAAATAATAAAATTGCCTGGCATTGGCGAAAGTTTAGCTAAAAAAATTTGGGAAATAATTGATACGGGTAGTTTTGAAAAACTAGAAGATTTTCAATCATCTGAATATATGACTGCTATTAATTTATTTGGTAATATATGGGGATGTGGACCGAATATTGCTAAACACTGGTATGATCAAGTAAGAGATCTGCTATTTCTTTTAAATGATAGTGGATTTTGTTTAATAATATAGGGCTTTCGTACTCTTAATGATGTTCGTACAAAAGCAAAACTATCTCAGAATCAAACAGTTGGATTAAAATATTACGATGAATTTCTTGAACGAATCCCACGTGATGAAGTCGCTGAAATTGAAGCTGTTGTATGTTTCGCAAGTCAACATGCAATTATTTATTTTATTCTAAATAATTTCTAGGTAAAAGAACATGCACTTGCATTAGTACCTGGTCTTACTATTCAAACGTGTGGTTCATATCGACGAGGCAAAGCCACATGTGGTGATGTGGATATTTTAATTACGCATACTGATGGAATATCACATCAAGGCTTACTTATTCCAATCATTGATTCATTAAGAAAATGTGGTATGCATTTCCAAAATTTAAATATATACACAGAATACGTTGGGAAATTGCTCTCATTTTGAGTAAACCGTTATTTTAAAAGAAGAAGCTTTTTCTACTCTTATAAAGCGTATTAGTATGTTTTTGTTTATCATTTTTAGCTTTCCAACTTACTTAGTATTAAGGGAGAATAAGATTTAGAAAAGTATTTTGAGTTATGAGACGAAAAAGTTCAACCTGAACGTGCCTCTACTTGAATTTTCTGTCAATAAAACTTGATGTTTTAGGATTTCTAACCGATGATCTTGTGCTTTCGGATAAATATGAGGAAGACAGCGGGTAAATGAAAAACAAATTACCTAATATTTTATTGTGAGTATGTTCGTTTTCTTTTATTCAAAGTTCACATGTGAAATATTTTGGCGTTTGCTTATTACCCGGTGAAAATAGAAAAGTAAGTTATTTATCAAACTAAAAACAACAAGAAAAAAAATTGTCTCCCTTTATTTCAAAGCATCGCCGTCTTGATATTATTGTTATACCACATAATGAATATGCATGCGCTTTGCTTTATTTTACTGGTAGTGCACTTTTTAACAGATCGATGCGCAACTTAGCACATCAATATAATATGTAAATTATCTTCGTTATTCTATTCTTATTAAAATAATATTTATTTGTAAAGGTATTTATCGCAACATCGTCTTAATACTGGTGTCATACGCAAAGTAATATCTTATTTATACATAGATGTCTTTTCTTCTACATCGAAATCGTTTTCATTTTAGAATAATTCAAAAATCAATATGGGTACACCATTGTATACTCCAACAGAAGAGTCTATTTTTAAATATCTCAATTTACCCTATCGACCTCCTGAGGAACGTGATCATTGACTAGTCAAAAATGAAATATTTTTATTTTTCCTTAATTGCTTATTTTTTTTATATTACAATCTAACTTCAATAATTGTAAAATCGGTGATAATAAATAATTTTTTTTAATTTCAGATTTTGTTTTTTTGTATAACGATATAATGGTGTTAGATGCAAATATTCTAAAAGAAAAATTAATTGAAGCTTGGAAATTACGTTCTAATGAAACAAGTTTTTCAGCTTCACTTGGACCATTAATTGCAGAATGTCGGTCTGAAGAAGAGTTTCGTTCATTATTCACTTGTAAGAGAAAAAAAGATTTTGTTGCTGTTGAATATTCATGTATTTAACGATTTCTAGCACAAATTCTCGCACATATTGATTCAGCAATATCTTCTAATCTTCTTCAGTCCTATTTTAAATTTCATGCAAGATCTGGCTATATAAATGAATCATTAGTTATTGAACGTCTTCTGTCTTTAACACCATTATCATCATCAGTAACAACAGATGATGTTCAAATTAAATTTTTACTCGAATTGCTATTTGAAATTCTTAAATCAATGAATATTACAGCTGAACAAGCACCTCGCCTTGGTAAACAATTAAATTTACTTGCTAAATGGCTTTGTTCAGCACTATGTATTTATTCAAACCAATTAAATATAAATGAACAAATGAATACAAAGGAAAAAGAGATGCTTGTATTAATTTCAAATTTATTTCTTTTATTATTTACAAATACAACTTATTATTGTCTTTGGTTAATGATAATTAAAGCACAAAAAGAACAAAATGAATGGAAACAATTACAAGAACGCTTAGAACTTATTTCAAAAAGCATACCAAATGGAGAAAATAGTAGACCAGATGTTTATGAACAAATTCTTTTTAAGTAAGATATTTTGAGATTCACTAATTCGTCGATAAATAATCAAAACACTATCGGATCATTTGTGACCATCCATATATGCGTATGAAAAATGTCGTAGAAAAAATTTTACTTTAGCGTTAATGAATGCTACATTTATATGAAAACTAATATTAAATTCTTTTTGTTTCGAATTTCTATAGTTTTGTGGAGAGTAGTTCATTCCAAATCTAAGAGCTACCTATTTCTCAGGTTCGAAAAATATTGTTGATTATCGGAAACATTTTTGGTCAGAGCAAGAAAAAACATTCCTACTGATCAAACCACTCTTCTTCGCTTGACACTTTTTCTATTCAATCAAATGTGATATATCGAAAATATCTGTCCGAAACAACTTATGATTCATACATAAATGTTACATAAAAAAAAATGGAAATATCGTAAACTTTGAATTAAAATAAATGTAACACTGTTAGTATATTTACAGTCTAAAACAAATGATGTGTTTTCAGTGGTGTCTCTCTGATCATCTGATATTACGGATATGAACATATTCGCCCTTGTTCAATATTTGAGATATTTTTAATCATTACGCAGCTTACCTACCGCCAATTAGTAAAAATCAAACAAAACTCTTATCATCTAACAAATGAAGTTCTAAAAATCAAAGAAAAAGATAATTTTGTACGACTAATAGTGATTGATCCGAAACAGATGTCGTCAAATAAAAAATATAGTTGAATAATTCAATATGTTTGTTTCGTTGGTTTCTATTAGAGGAAGTGTTTGAACAAACTTTTTTAGCTTAGACTAAACTGAACTATTCAATTATAATTTATAAGACAAATGCATCTTGGTTACGTTTAGAATAACTCGTCTTCATTTATCTGAAGAATTTCATCAAGAAGATATTGAATTTAATGTATCAATTTTCAATCCTATTGTTTCAATGCTTGTTATTAATAAACTTCATAAATCATCATCAGTTCTTCTATTAATTCTTCGTTTCTATGAACACGTATCAACAACATCAAATCCATCGCTAATATATCTTCGTCTACTTCAAGCATCATTTGGTGGTTATCTTTCATCAATATCAACAAATAATAGTGAATATCAACAACGTTGGTCAGCATACATACATTTTCAATTACCAAGAATTTTAGCATCATGTCTTGAAACACAGTTTGATATAATCAAACAATCCATTGAAACATTTTTATTGCATAACGAATATTTACTCAATCGTATGGATGAATTATGTTTAGAGAATGTTTTCGAAAAATTTTTTCAAACAACATTAAGCTATACTAAAATCGATGTAAAAGAAAAAAATGACAATAAAATTAATCAACTAATTTTTTATATACAACAAATTCGTCTACCATATATACAACAGATTCAACGATATTATCAAAATCATCAAATAAGTTAGTTACATTTAATTTTTCTCATGATTATCTTTAATAAATTCTTCTTTTTTTTCTTGTTAAGATTCTTATCCATTTCAAGTTCTTCAATTACAACGTTCATTAGAAAAATCTCTACAAAAATGTTTCTCAACACCAAATGATAGTGAAAATCTACAAAATTTAATCAATAGTTTAACTGATTATATTCCATTAATATGTGCACTTGATCAATATTATGATTTTGTTCATTTACTTTTATCTTATACGCAAACACAATTTGATCTTGCTTTATACGTACTTTGTTATATAACATCGATCACAGATGATACATCAGAAGATTTTGGTCAAATAAATATTAGTTTTGATAAGACATCATCATCGTATGTTGTTTATGTGTGGCTAAAAAAATATTGGTTATCACGTCATTTTGGTCATGCTTTATTTGCGTCATCACTTCATTCAATGGATTTCCTCTCAACAATTAACGGTTCACTTGATGATGATGCATCATCAACAGCAAAAGAAGAATTTCTATTGGATATTAAAAATTTTAATAGTGAAAATATACAAACAAAATATTCAAACATTGAATATTTATCAAAAACAATTTATTTTCTTGGAGAACTTCAATCATTATCATTAACGGAAACAAAAGATATGGTTTCTCAATTAATTAAATATTTAACTCATGTTTCGTATGGATCACTTTTACATGTACTTCTTTGGCTCGTAGCAAATTATCAAATAGCTAATGATGATGAAAAATCATGGATTCAAGATACTATTCATACGATGGGTAAATTCATAGTTTTCGTTTGTTTTTGGCTAGCGGGGGTGATAGGCAAGCCATGAAATAATTTTCCCAAGAACATTAACTTTGAAATTAGAAGCTATGAATATAAAAAGTTACGACTAGAAAAACAAATTTTTCCTCGTTAATCTTTTTTTTTAACATATTTATTTACAACAAAGCAGCAAAACAATATTTTCTGAATTGAATGAGAAAGCCTTAGAAATTCTAGCTAATAATATATTTTTTCCTGAAAAAAGAAATAATGAAAAACTGTTTCTCTCTANACAGTTTTTCATTATTTCTTTTTTCAGGAAAAAATATATTATTAGCTAGAATTTCTAAGGCTTTCTTATTCAATTCAGAAAATATTGTTTTGCTGCTTTGTTGTAAATAAATATGTTAAAAAAAAAGATTAACGAGGAAAAATTTGTTTTTCTAGTCGTAACTTTTTACATTCATAGCTTCTAATTTCAAAGTTAATGTTCTTGGGAAAATTATTTCATGGTTTGCCTATCACTCATCATCGCTCTCGTCATAATTATTTTGAATGTATATATTGATATTGCGAGCTTTTGCTCTTCCTGGATGCATGAAAAAGTTTTGAACAATATCATCTAAATGAAAATAGATCAATGTAAAAGATAGTTCGAGTTTAAAGAGAAAATAAATTGATATGAAAGAGAATATAAATTAATAGAAAAGAGAAAGTAGTTTGAACCTAAAGAGAAAATAGGTTCATATAAAAGAGAAAATCTCCAGGGAAAAAGCTATAACGCAAAAAAAATTGAGCGAGGGGAAATACCCCGCTCATCGTAAACTATGGGTAAATTGAAACGATTTCTCATACACATATGTTCAATCAGTCGAAATTGTTCATAACAACTTATCTACAAAGAAAACATAGCGGATTTGAGTGCCGATGATATTGGGTTTCATCTAGACATGCATGAGTACCGTTTTTTGAACTGTTCGTGCAAACGTGGACAATTCTAGAATTTGGTCGAGTTTAGATTTAATTTTTTTCGAAACATCGCTGCATTGTTCCAGTTGTCATTAATCAAAACAGATATTTCTAAAATTTTTCTGAATAAAAGAAATTGTTTTCAATTCGAATTCATCTGCTAATAAAAAATAGGAGAGAATGAATATTATATAATTTTGAATTAATCAACTAAAAATATATCTCTTTGAGTTGATGACTTACCAACAATGTATAAATTGCACTATAAAAAAAATATTGAAATCTATCATATGCTATCAGCTAATTTTTCTACAGAGAATTCTGTTGGTATAATGTTCTATTTTTATAAATTATTTTATATTCAATAGGTTCTACAGGCGATTCCAATTCAACAATAGTCTCATTACTCGATGCTATTAAGCGTCAATTATGGTCAGATTATATCGATAATCCGTTAGTCTCGTATTATTCTATCGGATCAGGTTTTTCCACTATAGTCAATAATCTATCCTTAACATCCTCACAAACATCTACATCAATAATTCAAACATTATTTGAAACATACATTACTAATGAATTTCTTAATTGTGAACAATCCCGTGCATTATATATTTGTTCAAAATATGTTCCAATAGATTCCTTAGTTGTACGTCTATTAACCAATATAAACACATCAAATGGAATATATGAAACGGGTCGTGCACTTTATTTTATATTAGGCTTAATTCTATTTCGACGACGTTCATCAACACGTTGTTTATTAAAACAAGTTTTACCTTATCTATTTAATGTAAAATCAAATGAATTTATGCTTGAACCAAATGTTTATACAACATGTTTCATTTTGAATATTCTACTTGCACTTGAACTCAATCAATATGACAATCAATTACAAGATTCATTTCGTGTTAAATCATGGAAGGAAATGTATTCCATGGATGATGTTATACCGAAATATGACGATACAAGTGTTATTGATGCTTATTATACTCTATTAAATTCTTCCTCGGAAGAATTATTTTCAAGTGAAACACTTCGACCAGTTAATTATTTTCTTGGTTGGTTTCAAACGATTCTCTGGATGTTTAGTCGTACAGTGAAATCATTAAAACCATTCGTCAAACCAAAACTTGTAAGAGGCAGAAATAACTCAAAAGATTTCTTGTATATTTTTCTTAAGCACGATGTATGAAAAGTGTGAAAGTATACCGATAAATATTTGAAATTACAGTTTATATCAGATCGTAAGAAATATCTCAGTCTTACTTACTCGATGTTCAAGTGTCATAGATTGTTTAAAAAAAACCAGATAGATCTTAGTATTACGCGACGATGGAAATATCATAGATCGTGAGAGAGTTTATCTTGTATGATCATTTACGGTATTGTTTGTTGTAAAGTATTAAGTTAAACTTATTATGATAAGATGATTCTCGGCATAGATATTCTAAGAAACACAAGTGCAGTTACATTTTGTTTCATTTATTTTTTATGGCACTTGCATTATGTTAACAGTCGTCTTTAAATCGTTTATTTATATTTTTTTCTGTCTTATGCAGGTTGCTCAATTATCGGAATATTTACCATTGCAATTTCCTATTGAAAAAGCTCTCAGTATATTAGAATTATCTGATAATATTGAAATTGAATATGCTACAATGGTTATAACACGTGATTATACTCGTTTAAAAACATTAAGCCGAAGAACAACACGAACACTTGTACATAATCAGCAATTAACTATTAATGATAATACTTTAACAATAACATCGACGAACATATCAAAGAATGTATTTTCAATACCAAAAAATCTTTAGATTTTTGCTTGTACAATTTTGGTATAAGAAATTAATCTCAATTTTTGTTTTTTGTAAATATGATGTCATCTTATACGATGAGCTAAGCTCTCGAGTTCATAATTGTTGTTTGCTTGTGTAACAAACGTTTATGATTGTATACATTGAATAAACAGAAACCATGTCAATTAGTTTATATTATACAGTTAATGCATTTTAGACTTTTCGAGTTTTAGACTTGGGAGAAAATCAACGAGACAAATAATTATAATTTAGACTTAAGAAGGTTAAAGAAAAATTGTTGGCACAGTAAACACTTCATTACACTTTGTTGAACATGAAAAATTAGAAAAAAATTCCATCTACACATGCTTGCTCTTTAAATTACTTCTATTCATAAAATATAACATTGCTGAATGTTTTCTCTCTTTCTATAAATATTTTTTCAATTGATATTTTTATCTCCTATCGAATATCATACCATAGTAATATTTGATTTTTCTAGTTAAACGTTAACTGGGCGTAACTCAAAGACCTTTTAGATGTTTGAAGAAAATCAGAATTTATTATTTCAACTACAGAAGACGACAATTAATTAATATTAATACTTTTTTAAATGAGGACGAAATTCTAGTTGTAAAAATATGTGCCGTAGTTTCTTTAGAATAAAAGATTGTGTGATGATCTAGGCGCGATGTTCAGAACATGAATAAATAGAAATAAAATTCTAGTTGTGCTCGAATACTGTAAAAGACGATACCTAACTGTAATGCGGATGCATTATCTTGAATTTTCATGCAACATTATCCCATGATATTTTTCTTGAGATACACAGTAGTTTTAACTGGATGTGATATTATTTACTAATTCAATATATTGTATGTTAATGAAAACCAAAGTGATCATCGTTGAAAAATGTTTTGTAATATAGGAAATAAAAATTGTAGATAATGATATGATAATATATTTATCTTTTAAGAGTCGAATTTTGAATTTTCTTTATTTTTCAAAAAGAAATAAAATGAAATGGTTGTAGTAGGGAAGGTAAATATCGCACTTGACTCGATAATTTTATTCACAAATAAATCTTCAATCTAAAGACAATTTGATGAAAAGTCGAAACTTAAAAATACACCTTTTAACTATTATTAGGTAATTGATTATTTCAATACTGATATTCTCATTCATGATTCGCGGGTTTACATTCGTATAGATAATTGAAGTTGGTGGCATTGAATGAAAATCAATTTGGTTCGTTTCTATTTGTACAACGTCATTGACCTACTAGTAGTATTAAATGAGTAAATTTTCAGTTAAACTACAAATCATAGAAATAAGTTGGATCTGTTGCTTTAATTATTTGTGAAATCGATTGTTCATTAAATATAAAATTTGTTTGTAAGATATTTCTAGGATTTAAAAAATGCATGACATGAGTACGGTTCAATCGGAGTCTGAAATCAGAAATTCTAGTGTTTATTTTTCTTATTGTATAGTTTACTCATGTCGAATAGAAACTGAAACGATATAGTTTTTTTTCTAAAGAATTTCATATCATGATTACAGAAATATTTCTTTTGTTCTATTGAAAATGCATTTCAACGTCTTCGCTATTATCTATAACTCATTTATCATGTTGAAAGAAAAAAAATGAGAAGGATGAACACATATAGCTACCCATCCCTATCTCCTCATAAGGAAAGAAGAAAAAGAATACTATGGAAACGTTATCGTCATTGTGTCCTTCGCTCACTTTTGCTGACAGCTAATCCAAATGAGAAGAAAAAAAAACGCATTCACGCGATACTAATGGAAATTGAAGAGCAAAAAATGGAATCGTCAAATAGCAAATTTAAGGTTCTATTAAAAGATATATAATCCTGTCTAGTTTTTTTTACTTACCGTATCGATTTTGTTTTCATAGAAATTTCGAAAACGTATTTTTCGTCCGATTCATCGTTTTAAAAGTAAAAATAAAGATGAACAACAACACAGTGTTCTACAAGAACAAAATCAAAAAGTTGATCTACTCATTCGAAATGAAGATTTTAATGTGTAAGTTTTATTTTGTACTAAAGCAAAAACACACGGATTATTATTTTTGTATTAAGTACTGGTTTTGTAATTGATCCACAAAATTATTTATATCATTATTGGCTTGGCATAATTTCAGTTGCTGTTGCTTATAATCTTATTTTTATACCAGCTCGTTATGCATTTGATGATCTAAATAGCAATTTAAGACTTACTTGGATTGCATTAGATTACGCATTTGATGTCATTTATTTAATTGATATTTTTCTACAATCGAGAACAGGTTAATAAGAAAAACTAAATAAACTACAGATAGTTGTATTAATAACTCAAATAAATATTTTAGGTTACTTTAGCCACGGTCTCTTTGTTCGTAATCACCACGTTTTGGCTCGGAAATATTTTTCATCACATGAATTTTATATTCGTGATCTTTTATCAATATTTCCAACTGATCTTCTATATTTCAATCAACGTTTACGGTTTATATCAATCATTCGTTCGAATCGATTCTTACGGATTCATCGTCTTTTTGAATTTCAAGAATTAACTGAATCACGTACACGATTTCCAAATGCATTTCGTATTGGAGTACTTATTTGTTTAACATTAACACTAATTCATTGGTAAGATAGACTTTTTCTTTGCTAAAAATAGAAGGAAAAAAATTTCTTTCCTAGGAATTGTTGTATATATTTTCTTATTTGTCAACATTTGGGTTTCGGTAGTGATGAATGGGTACTACCCGCTTCAGCACACAATGAAACAGTTGCAATGCTTTATACATATTGTTTTTATTGGTCAACACTCTTATTGAGTACTATTGGTGATGTTCCATTGCCTGTTAAACAGTCTGAATATGTTTTTGTTTTATTTGATTATATGATTGGTATGTTCCTTAACAGAATTTTTCGTTTTCTATAAGAAAAAGTTTTCATGCAGTTATCAAGTTACTTGAATTTATATTTTGCATTTTGCAAAAACAAGCAGTGAAATATTTTCTGAGTATCATTTTATTTTGAACTTAAGCTTAGAAATTTGACATATTTTGGAATCTATCCCAACTATAAAACAAAACATATTGCAGTATATTACTAGAAAAAGAAGATAGCTTCATAAAATATAGCACGAAGTTGAATAAAATTTTGGTAAATCTTATTTTGATCGTGTATGATGTGTGTATGATCAATCAACTATCATTTATATATCTACCTGATAAATCATTGTTTACAACGAGAGCTTTTTATCTAAAATTTCGATGGAAGCGATCATGATGACAATGGCACATGAAAAATAACGACAAAAAGAGCAAAAACATTTTTTGTTTTATTTAAATTATACTACTTTAGAATATAAGCATTCTATTACGTGCAAAGTAAACCATAAACAGTTTAAAGATGTAAATCTAATAATCTCCGCTACTCATTCAGGTATTCAATTGATTCTTTTGTACTAATGTTCGAGTAGTATTTTGCAGAATTTCCGTTCAGAATACTATGATTCATGAATTCGGTTTTCAATTGTCGATATTCAACTTCAACATAGTATTAGAACATTTTTAGCTGATAATAAACAATATAAACTGATTCCTCTCTGTGTGCTTTTTTTAAATTTTACATATACTTGATCATCTGTTTTCGTTAGTATTTTTCGATCGTCATAATACCACATGTGCAGTTGTCTAATATTCAACTAGTTGTAGGCCTTCTTTGCTCTGAAATTCAAAGTATAAAAGACTACTACTATATAGTATCGCTAATCGACTTCATTTTTAACATTCTTATTCAATTATTTTAACATGATTATTTACATACATTTCGTTAATAAATACAATAGAGTTTTCTTGTTTCTATTGGATTTGCTGCTTAATGTTCAAATCATGAAACTATGAATAAATTATTTGTCTTTCTTCTTTTTTTAACCGAAAGATATGCACGGATTTACTTTGTGTATAGATAGAGACCAATACATATCTTCCTGTTCTCATCAGTATTATATAATAAGAAATCGAATTATCTCCGGCAGTGTGCTTAAAATTAAATATTTTTCTTAATACGATTATTCTTGAATGTTAAATTTGTATCTATGCGACCTGTCCAAGCACGACGGAATCACGTTTTTTCATTTTGTATTTTGAATATCTCAACTTAATGAAATTGAATGAAGCTGAATCTTTCAGAATATATTCAAGTTTCATTGCTCTAGATACCCTGAAAGTTTCATAGGATTCGAAACTTCCGTGAAAATTTTATGATTAAAATATAGGTCCGTTACGGAATCACCAAAAAAGGTCTTCCAGATTGAGTCCCATGTGAAGAACTGGAAAATTTAGTTCAACTAAAACTGCGAAGAAAACATTTTCAATAGGAAAGTTATAGTGGAGATGATATTCTATCTGTAGAAAAGAAAAGAAAATTTAAAATATATAAAAGTATGCCTTTGAATAGTAGGAAAAGCTTCGTCACTGAATCACTCTTTTTAAAATGTTCATAATTTTTTAGTGTCTACTTCTTAAGAAATTTATCTATAATTCCCGAAAATGAACACATTTATATTACTAATAGATATGAGCAAAATGAATGCCGATTCTGGCCACCGGGACTGGAACCGGGATCGAGATCAAAGACAATAACTGTACCAAGGTCTAAACCCCAGAACCTTAACTATGTCGTACCGAGACCTAGATCAAAGCAAAAGTTTCCCGCTTAGAGCAAGAAAGTGAGACTTTCGTGCCTCAGAGTACAGGCCAAGCAGGGGAGGAGTCCAATAAAGTAGACCTAAGTTACAGTTGTAGTAAAGAAATAAAAACTATGAGTATTGAAGAAACATTAAAAGTATGAGAAAACAATGCTGTAACATATTTCTCTAAACAGGCACAGGCTGTATATTAGTTAGACTCACATGACCAACATAAAAAATGAAACTTCAACCCGACAGAGATCAGAACCACAATAAGTGTACGGAGACTTTGGTCGGAATAGGAACCAAAAATAATGTTGCCGCGCGTATCTCTAATTACTCGTGAAAAAATAATCAAGAAAAGTCATTTTACATTGCTAATTCTCCCAGGTCAAACATTCCGGTCCCGGAAGCGGCAGGTTCTGTGGTATTCCGGAGATTTCATGGAAGCAGTATTCCGGTGAAAGGATCCGGTGACCGGATCTATCCGGTTCCGGCCGGAATCGACAAGAACCTGTCAAAGCTGGTAGCCGAATACGGTTTCCGGATTCCTGCATTGAATTCCGGACAATTCCCGGTGGGTTCCGGTCGGAAACAGCGAGTTTCTTGCAGGTTTTCGCCGGAAATTCACGGAATACTGCTTCAGGAATCATTGTCCTGGGCTGATAAGGTAAAAATTCGATTTCACAAGTATGAGTTGCATATCAAATATCACCCCTAAAATACCATTTTCAATTGCAGCAATAAAAGTAACTTGAAACCGTCAGAAATCAGTTTTGAAATAAAGCGTGAGGCTATAAAATACCATAATCTATATAAGAATATAGTCAATATGTATTATAAGAGAAAAACAATGTTGCTATCTTTTTAGAAAAGCGTACTTGTTCGACCCAATGGTGATTCCATCACGGTCTCGGTAACGAAATAAGAATTCGTATCAAAAGCCAACTAGTTCTGTGGATAGAGCAAAAACGTCAGCGTTAGAGTGCTCGTTCGCAGAATCATAAATATCTGGCTTTAGGCTAATAATGAGTTATAGAATATTTTCGTTGCGAAATCACAATCAGAAATGGGCTACTTTTAAAATATAAATACTTTTCTTCAGGAAAAACAGTACCTGGATCTCTTGTTATAGTTAAAAAACCTACTCAACATAGTTCTAAAAGATTTGATCAGCTTTGAAAAATATGTATATTCATCGATACAGAGTGATAGTTGTTTAATAATATTTTTCTCCTAAAATATATGCGGCTATTGAAAGAAAAAATACACTTCTGTGTACTACCGACAATGCTCTGCAAGATGGTTTTATATATTTTACTCGATTTTGAAGTTCAACTTTGCCTACAAAGGTGGACCGTTACGTGGACAGGTCGTATGATGAATAAATACATATTATTTGTTGATCTCGGCCTATTCACCGTATTCTTAATATCATGAAACTCAATAACATTCTATTAAAATCTAATCATTTCCAAATTAAGTAGTTTGATTCTGATCTATATAAATTTCATTTGAAAATATTTATTCAAAAATTTACGAATATAATTTATGCATACAGGTATACTTATATTTGCAACCATCATTGGCAGTCTTGGTACAATGATATCATCTCAAAATCAATCAAGTAAATAAATTGAATTTTCAAGAAAATATTCTTTTCTATATTTACAACAATATTTTTCTACAGGACAACAAGTTTGTGAAAAAATGGATGAAATAAAACGTTATATGAAATTTCGTTCGGTTAATCGGAAACTTGAACGAAAAGTTATAAAATGGCTTGATTACTTGTATACAAATCGACAAGTATTGAATGAAGAAAAGGTTTTAAATTCTGATTTAAGCGTTGAACTACGTAAAGATCTTGCAATTAAAGTACATCTAGAATCGTTACAACAAGTTAAATTATTCAATGATTGTGAATCAAATTTACTTGTTGAATTGGTAAAATGTTAAACTATTAAAAATAAATGTGAAAACATTGCTTTGACTTTTTCGACGCTTAGGTAACGAAATTAAAACCCATATTCTTTGGCCCTGGAGATTATGTTTGTCGAAAAGGTGATATTGGAAAAGAAATGTATATTATTAAGCGTGGTGAATTAGCTGTTGTTAGTGACGATGGAAAAACAATATTTGTTAAACTTAAAGAAGGCGCTGTTTTTGGTGAAATATCAATTTTAAATATTCCAGGTAAAATTTATGTTTCCTTTTTTTGTGAAACATCATTCGGAAAAAGCATTGAAGTATAAAGTGTAGAATATTATCATCGAAAAGTAAACAGCAAGATGAACGATGATGATCTATAATCGTTATTTGTGTACCAATATGATCTCATGATAAAACATGAACTACATCCTTATTAAATTCCTGCAGCATTAAGTAAAACATATTGAAGAAATTTTGTCTTAAGCAAAATAGAATATCAAGGTGTTTTTGACGAATACAACTTTTTGTAGCTGAGATCAATATGCTATCTTTTCATCTCTGAACTCGAATCAGAGTTAGTTAACATCCTACAGATACTCTCACAGTTCAAGTACGATTATCAGAACTTTTTTTTCTCTGAAAAAGTATAGAATTGAGTTTATCTCATAAACAGCAAGAAGAAAAGGTATTCTTGTGAGAATCACACAAAGCAAAACAACTCTACGAAATAATTCAATAGTCAAAAGACTTACGTTAGTTCCATTTATTTGTAAAAATCGGTTACTTTTGTTTGGTGAAAACATCATGATGATGAACACATGGAGTAATACTTTATTTTAGTAGGATCTAACATAATATATATCTGAATAACAACAGTAGACATCTAATGTTTTATATCGTAATCGTACAAACATTGCTCTAGCAATTATTTTATTTGAATTAAATAATAAAGTCGAGTATTTAGGTTCCAAACATGGTAATCGTCGTACAGCTAATGTTAAATCATTAGGTTATTCTGATTTATATACATTATGCAAAGAAGATCTATGGCTTGTACTTGATAATTATCCAGAGTCACTTTCAAAAATAATCGAAAAAGGTAAATCATTACTACGTAAAGATAATCTTCTGGATGAAACACTAACTGATAAGAAACGACACGTTGAACAAGATCAATTATTAAGTGTGCAACATCGTATTAAAAAGTTAATGGATCTTGACGAATTATTAAACGATCGTATTACAAAATTTCTAGACAACTATGTTGATTCAATCAGATCATTTAAACAACAATTATCGACATTAGAATATAGTTATGGAACAAGAAAACCAAGTGTATCTGTATCAGTTAATATTCCAGCAAATACATCAAAACTGCATTTCTATGATAATAATCTAAGAGATAATAATATAAACAATATTATTAAATACGCAAGTGCACCATTTTTAAAGATTGATCAATAAGAAGAAGATTACTAAATTTTTTACTCCTTTGCAAACTATTTATTGTATGTTAGATATTGCTTTGTAGTAGAAATTATTCGCCCTTAGATAATATTTTGTTTTCTATAAATAAATATATTAGTCTTTGATAGTTTTAAAAAAACTGGTTTTCCTCGGGAAATAGTATAGAAGAAAATATTTTCATGTTCGTTCTCGATTTTGATGGATCTCTTATATATCTCTCTAAATAGTTATTTATCAATCGTATTAATCTTTTGGTCATCAACAAAAGATAAAGAGGATGCTTTGACTGTTCAGAGTTTTTTTTTAATGCAAATATATAATTATTATGCGCATATAAACTAGAGATCACAAATAATTATATTTGGTTTCTTACGACAGTACAGTTGATACAGTACGAATATGTCTGTGATAACCAAGGTACTAATGATAACAATACGGAAAAATACTGTAATTTGTAGAAATTTTGGATAATTAGAATAATCATTTATGGTGAAGATAAAGAAATAATTAAATGTTTTGATAAAAAGTTGTATAGATTTAGATAAATCAATATTTGATAGAGAATTGTCATTGTTTCGTAATTTACTTTATCAACATTTACGATACGTTCTATAGTTTTTTTAGAGGTTTTTGAATGCGTCACATATTAATAAATTCAACATGATTATCTTGAAGCTAAATATAATTTAAGCATCTTTTTTCGATCTTTACTATTGTTTTTACATCAGCTAAGTGTCTAAATATGATTTTCTTTTGGTATATCTTTTTTAAATGGTTTGTTCAGTAACTCGTTTTTTTATAAATCTGGCCAACAACATGGCATTCATATGAATCTTACGATTTCTTATTCATTCTTCTCTTATTTGTTGTAACCATAAATTATATTTAGTATTGTATTGGATAGATCTCTGAAACAGTGTATTGATCGATTTCAAATGATTTATTACTGAAAGAAAAGATGTGTTTTTTCTTGAGTATTTCATTCGAAAACGCAACATGAATATGAACAAATTATTTAGATTTATTTGATTAGAAGTTATTTCTTGCTTGGATATAAATTGTTGTTGTCGAACTTGTCGACAACTTATGAAACACTAGGTATACGTATTTATATAGAGGCTCATATCCATAGATAGAATTGATATGATGTTTTCAGTACTATAATGTATGGTGATTATCTGGTAGCTGACTAGTTCATATACTGAAAATTTTACTCCATAGCAGACACACATAAATGGCTAGTTTATACATATCATGAATCTGTAAATTCGAACAACTATTTGAAAATTTTCAATTAACATGGTTCTATTGAAAAACTGCATTTATTTTTACTAGAATATTCATAATTTGTATTGTATGTCACGATTTGCTTCATTATTGTATTTTGTATACTTTTTTTTGTCTCGAAAGAAGTATAGAATTTTGTTAGTGATAAAACTGACTTTATTATGACAGTTTTTTGTTTTAATGCCAGGACAAATTGTAGCCACATGAGAAATTTTGACGTTGCTCGAACATATTTTATTCGAAGAACTTTTCACCATTTAATAATAAAATCAATATACTTTTAATGGCTGTTGATTTTAACATTCAAGCCATTAATCATAAATACAATTGATGTGTTGTTTTAATAAGCAGTGTAGAATTTTCTCACGTTTTTCATAGTTTTTTCTTAAATTTAAATTATATAGCTATATGACTATTATGATCGTATTATAAACCATCGGAACCAAGTGTCGATTTAAAAATTGTTCATATATTTGTGATAACTATTTTTTTAAACGCCATCTGTACATGCTGATTTTTGATTCGTCAATGGCTGTACTCAGAAGACCAGAAGAAGTATCATTCTGAAAAACAAACAACACTCGATTCTGTTCGTTCAATACAACAGATCACAAAGTATCAGCATAAATATGAATTAGCATTCGTTAGATATCTATTGACTTTATCGACATTTAGGTGAGTTTCATTGACACATGCATATGATAAACTGTGCAAACTTCCATCATCTAGAAGTCAACCACTCCCATTAAAAGATGTAGAGTAAAGAATAAAATTTAAGTTTAATATGCACAACCAACCATGTAGTGCTTATCGCGCATCTTCAAAACGTAAAACTGTTTGGTTTTCATTTTGTGATTGAGTAAATCAGATAGCTATGTGTGGTTAAGCAAGTGTTTCTGTCAAAAACAAAATATCTCCTTCATTAAATAATAAAACTTGTCTAAAAAAGACTTGGATACGTCCTTTATTTTCGATGATTATATAGCTCTATCTTTTTTCATCAATTATAGATAATGCTCAAATCAATGTCAAAAGAAACAATAAACACACGATCAGATGATCAATTTTGTCGAAATGCCTGTGGTTTTTATGGAAATAAAATATGGGACGGATTTTGTAGTAAATGTTATCGTGAAGTTTATCAACAAGCTAAACAAATTCAAGAAGCATATGACGGAAAATCAAAGTGAGAAGATTTATGAGCTCAACATAGGTTTTATATAATTTTCTACTAATATGAGTTAATATAAAAATAATCGCTTATTAACGACTTATTGACAAGAGCACTACGTAAAATAAAGAAAAAATAGGGATGAAAGACGAATTACTATCAATAAGGAAGTGCTTTTATTTCAAAGCAAATATATATATATATATATATTACTTATACTAAAGTGCAGATATAATAAGAATCATTGTCAATAAGCATAAAAATATCATTTATACGATCCTTGGAAAATCGTATTTTCTATAAAAACTCTTCATCAGTAACAAGTAAAAGTTAATAAAGAGACATTTCAACTGTTTAATCACATTGTGATGCAAAGCTACTCGATTTTATACTATCTAGTGACCTGAACTTAATCATGGTCATAGGCAATCCTCTCATAACTTCAGATTTTGTTTTCAAGATTAACAAAATTATGTTTCAAAAGTTTTGCGATTAGTCCACGTTCTGGAATATAAATAAATGGCCAAAAACATGATAATTTCTCCAGCTATGCATTATTTTTAGTAGTAAAACCGATACATATCCATAGTATAATGTGAAAATCTTCAAGATAATATTATTTCATTTAAAGATTATTTTTCGAAACTAAATAGATCTAAAACGCTTTAAAAACAAATGTTTCTTTTTCGCTTAGATAGCCAATTTATAAGGGTCTACAATTATAATTGATTAACTGTAAGTAAAAAAAGCAATTGATTAGTTGAAAATGTTTTTATCATTCACTTTTATCAATATTAACTCGGGATTAATTCAAAATATTTTAAATTTATCGTTCTAAGCAAGATATCCAATAAATATATTGATAGGTTTATTTATTTCATATTAGCATGTGAAACGCTTTTGTGACAAGAATGGTACATTAATCAAAACTTCTAATCATATAGCATTTAGTAAATAGCTACACAATTTTTTGTGTTAAATTGCGTATTCCAAGATAAAACATGGAATATTTTTCTTTAATTAGACATAATGTAATAGTTTTTTTGCTTAATATTCTGAATGATAAGTTGAATAGCAAAAATAAAAATAAAACCGAGCTTTTATATTCAATCATTATTTTTTCTCGTTGAAGTACATCGATCTCTGAATCTAATTCATCCTTATCTCCATCAACTTCTAGTTCTCATGAAAAACGACGTTCCAATATCACTATGCCTAATCCAATTCGACAAATGGTTCATCGAGCTGGTAATCTTCGTTGTATGTATAAAAAAAAAACCTATTATTTTCACTTCACGTTTAAAACACCCTATTTTATTATTATAGCTTCAAGTAATTCAGTGATTTCAGCCTTACTCAATGATGAACAAACAATAGAAAATGAATCAGTCAGTAAATATTTAGAAATTATAATAGCAGATGATGCACGTAGTGACATAAAATCTCAAGTGAAAACATTTGCAAATAATTTTCATAAAAAATGTTCAAATAAAAATATTCGTCTTGATACACTTATACAAGAATACGGTACATTTACAGATACAATTAAGAAAAGAATACAAACGAACTCGATCTATCGAGGTAAGATAATAATATCTACAGGAATTAGGGTGCATGAAAAATTTTCTGTTTTATTATATTCAGAAGAGAATGAAGATTTAATTCACCGTGTTCGTGATTATGTTGAAAGTATTATTTTTTCAAAAGATTATGTATCAGTATTTGATCGTATTGCTATCGAATGTGAAGAACAAGATTTATCTATACAAAATCGAATTTCATCTCTTCATTGGGTAACACCTACAATGTTGGATGTTGTTCTCAATGAAGATATTTCTGATCATCGAGAAACAATGTATAAAGCAGTCAATGGTAAATCTTTGTTTTTTTTTGTTTTATTAATTAACCTATAATGGTAACATTTTAGCATAAAATATTTGTTAATTTTTATTACTATTTCAGAATACATATATGTGCAGATTTTTCTACTGTGATACCATTGAATCATTAATAGTCTGTTTTATGAAAGAAATCAAGATTGTCTGTACACATACATCGGTTTTATTTCACTCCTTATTTTACTTAGTTTAACTCGTACAATAGTTTTAACATGATACTAATGTAGAGTTTTCATTTCCGCATCAAATAAGATACGATAATAAGTGAAATATCATCTTTGAACTTTTACCTAAACGCTAGTTTCTATACAGATTTATATTTGGTTAAAAATTGCTTTTTCAAAAACTTGTCTTCAAATCATCTTATGATATTTATCCAACTGTAATTTAGAAGCAAAATGTTGAACATACACTCGAACAGAATAAAAAGATCTAATTTTAGTCCAAAATAATTATATTTTAGTAAACGAAAAATGATGAAATATTACTTTGCTAAAGCTTTCATATTGCAGATTACAGTTGAAAAGTTTTTTTTCTTTCATTTAATTAGCTTTAATTGAATTGGATGCTAAAACAACTCCACAGGGAAAAATTCATTCAATAATGGAATGCAAATCTTTTATTGAACAAGTTTTACAATCAACAAGCGGCACAACAATAAATGCTGATTGTTTTCTTCCGGCACTTATCTATGTAGTATTAAAAGCTAAACCACCTAGATTATATTCAAATATACAATTTTCAAGTCATTTTTCTCAACCGAATGGTGAACAACTTTACTATTTAGCTAATCTTGTATGAAAATAACAAATGAAATAATATGTCACGAACTTTTTCTATCGTTTTTTTTCACAGGATTCAGCTGTTCGTTTTATTGAGCTCTTGCAAGCTGAACATCTTGGGTTATCATCCAATGATTTTTCATTGTATATGCGTGGCGAACCAGTATTACCATCGAGCTGTGTTTCTCTCTTTGATTATTCATTTGAAAATAATTCAAATATTCAACAATTACGAAACATGTGTATACAATGTGATGAAATCGAATATAATTCTCAAAAATTCCATGAAAATATGACTGATTTTAATCAACATCTAGTGCAATCAGTGACTGATATCAATGAATTATTTAATGATTCATACACACGATTTGCATATTTCGAACAGATACCAGCGTTAATTAAACTAGAAAATATTGATAAAAAAGATATCGATCTTTTAAATCCATCAATCATAGAAAATAAGTATTCCCAAGAAACATTAGAATCAAAAACCGCTTTAAAACAGGATATAGAACAGTGACATGTTAAGAATATTCATTGAATCATTTAAACTTTCATTTAGAGATCTCCTAAATAGTTAATAAATCATCTTGCTATTGTTCACATCCAAACGTTTTTTAATAGATTCCTTGGCATGAAAATTTTTAAAACTAATTATTCGATGTTAAATAACTGTCTTCCCTAACGATCGTACGCTACGAAGTACAACAATTGATATAGTTCAACATTACAATTGTATATGTTTGTATTGTATCTCATGTAATAATATGATTCACACAGAAAACAGAACTTCCTTACAATTGTCATAAAGAAGATCGTGTGTACATGTGATTATAGTTCTCTACAAATGATCATTATTGCTGATATATACCAGTCACATATAAATACGATCGTAATAGTGAACTATATCAACTGTCAAATATATATTTGAGTTCTATTGTTTTCTTTCTGCACGTATTTGATATTCTATATTTTAATTTCATTCCATGGCATCTAGAAAAGAAAAGAAAATACTACATGAAATAAATGACAATCATTCGTTTGCTAAGATTCATCTATGTTTATTTTTAAAGACAGTATTATTCGTAGACTAGAAATATCATTGAATCTCTTTATAATCTACTGTTGAGCGTTGGAAGTATTGATCTTGGATGTTTAGAATAGTGTGTAACATCGTAATTTATCAGTTTCTGTTTCCTACATTGTATTTTAATCGAACAACGCTTATGTAGATAATTGTATGTGTGTGGTCTTTTCATCATTTATTGAAATTGTCTATTTTATTAACCCTTTTTCCTCGATATAATTAATAAACATGATAGAATATTACCTAACTTTTCTTCACCTTTATTAATAACAGCATGGATGGATTGATTGAAATCGATTGCTGATGTATTTAATTCGCAATGACAAGATTAGTCTTCGTTTCAAAAACAAACGATAGAAACTTTTTCGAATCATCTTCCCATGAAAAAATATGCGTCTTAAAAAATTCTTGTTTTAACAAGAATTTCTTGATAGAGAAATTACAAAGGTAACGTTTAAGTATACTGAACATTGTGACATAGTAATAAAATTATTTCTGTAGAATTGAAACATATCACTGCAACATGAACATATCTTGATAAATTCGATTTCAATATCTCGCCATTTAGTGTTTACATTAACATACTCCATATCTTAATGTAGTGTGACAAGATTAATTAAAATAAAAAACTTGACTCATCATTTTTTGTGTACTCAAAAAACAAAAGTGAGTACACTGTAGAATCGGTCAGTGTGTCCGGCCGTTTACACGATAGCTCTTGAAAGGCTGATCCTATTGTCATGAAATTTTATACACAGAATGATCTCATCAATATCTCAGTCGAGTTCAAAGATGAGAGGGATCCGTCAAGAAATGGCTGAGGTATCAAAAAAATTGTCATTATTGACCAGACCATCCTTGAGGGAGTACAGGGATTTTTTCAAAAAAAAAATTTTCTTTCTCAGTATTATTCACAACATATATAAATCGACTCAGTTTTTGCAGTACACATAACAAATGGATGCAAATCCGATTTTTCCGCATTTATTTAATCATACATTTGAATACTAAAAGTAAAAATTGACTTGTACTAACTTGACGAACGATTCTTTATAATTGTTGATCAATGAAACGATTAACCAGTGATTCATTTTCGTGATCATAATATTTAATTATAAATTTTAAAGATATTTTCTTAATTATCATTCCTAAGAAATATAATTAAGGTGAGTGGGAAAAAAATGCCGACGAGATTTTTCATAAATCTTCTTACATTTGAACCGATTATTTATCTATGCTTAAATCAAACAATAAAAGATAGTAGCCGACTATTTAAATTATTTTTGAGAAAAATACAACCATTTTCTTTGTTCATTATAATTACAGGAATCTTGTTTCAACATTTGATTCTTCTATGAAATTTGATCTTAACTGATGTTTATCAATCATTCGTTTAACAAGAGTAACTCTATCTAGACAATAATTGATTGTTTTTTTTTCGTTTTTTCTTTCTATAAGAGTACATTCAACTCTTTCATAGAATTTCTCTTTTGTTTTTAAATAGTTAAGACTAAACTATGAATAAATGCAATCGTTTACTAATATTGTTCATTTTTATTTGTTTAATTGATAACACTGATAATTTCTTACTTAAATCTCGATTATCGATTATTAAAATTGGTTCATTCAATTTACGTCGATATTCTTTATCTAAAGCTACATCAACCAATTCAACCAATTCGTATATATCACAAATTCTTCAACGATATGATCTTATTTTTCTACAAGAAATAATTGATATATCGAATGATAATCGTGTTGTTAATCTTCTTCTAAATCATCTTCATAAAAAATTAAAATTAAGAAAATACGAAGCTATTATATCACCACCACTTGGTTCAACATCGTATAAAGAACGTTTAGTTTATTTATATCAGAAAAAATCTTCAAAAATTAAAATTCTTTCATCGTTTGTTTACAATGGATCAGTTAGTAAAATGTTTGAACGTCCGCCATTTATTCTTCGTATACAATTATCATCGTCGGGACAAATAACATTTATTGGTGCTCATCTTAAACCAGATTGCGTTTATAATGAATTTCGTTTGCTACGTACAGTTATTGATGAGTTAAAAGAAAAATCTTCTATCATATTATTAGGCGATTTCAATGCTGATTGTTCATATTTAAATAATGCAAAAAAGAAAGAAATAAGAAATATATATTTCAATGAATTTCAATGGTTAATTGATGATCGTACTGAAACGAATTTACTTGAATCATGTTCATATGATAGAATAATTGTTTCATCAGGTATTAATCAATGGAAAAAAGTCAATTGGAAAGCAAATACTAATGGAACATTTCAATTTGATAAAAAATTTAAATTAACTAAACAATCAGCTTTACAAATTAGTGATCATTATCCAGTTGAAGTCGATATTTATTAAAATAATAATGATATGTAATAGTTTACACTGGATTTTATTTATCAAACGAAAGACAATACAACGATTATATTTAATAAATAAAATTTTCTTTTATTTTGAACTAAGTGAAAACTGTTGTGTATTTCTTCGATGTGTTTAATCGCTAAGAATATTTCCCAATGGCTCTTTTTTTTTTCTGTGGAAGCGCAGGTGGAAATAAATAATTAATGCATAAGTATAACACTGCAACGGAGATCATATTTCAAGTTTCATTGCAAATAAAAATATGATCTTCGTCGCAGTATTATATTCATGCATTAATTAGTTCTTTTCTTTTTTAATTTTGTTGCAAACGATGATGTTACATATTCAATAATATACATTTTCAGAATGGGAAATGCTTATATTTTGGTCTGTTTGTTCAAAGAAAATCACATAAAAATGAAATTTGAATAATTGATAACACTTGCATGACCTGTGAGTCTCCATCAGAAAATATTAGAACTACGAACAAAAGTTTCATGAATAAGAAAGTCAAATAGAAAAGCTCATGTAGTACAATATCAAATTATTCAAGGAACAAATTCAACAAGAAGTGACATCAGTATCTTCAATTTCTCCTTTCTCTTGTATTTAAAAGTTAATCAGATTTCGAAATATTCACTTGAAGAGAACAATCGTTTATTTTTTAATACTGTAGAGAAAAAAAATGCTAACTTTCATCGCTGTGGTCCGTTTGAATTAATTCTCTTGTTGAACTTGCACTGATTGGGTGTGACTGTTTACTTTTTAATTGTTCTTGTAATTGTTGAGTCCAACTTATCATAGTATCAGCGGAATTTTTCATTTTTGATGTTGAATTATTTTGTTCAACTATATCAGCAGCATAAATGCATTTTTCTTGTGATTTTTTCTCTTTTTGTTTTGCAATAAAAGCAGTTGCAAACGATTGAATGCCTACATTGTTCGGTGTTTTACTTTCATCAGGTAAGTGCTCTGGATTCCATACTACATCCATAACATGATAATTAGTTCCTGTTGTTTTTGCACCAGGTGGTATAATTTTCTTTGTTAATAAATTATTTTCATTTATTGGTGAATCAGTTGAACGAAGATTATTAACGTTAATTTCGTCTTCATCCTCGTCACCAATATCATGATTTGAACAACATTTAAATCGATACCATGGACATCCAATAGCCGTAGAAATTTCGTCCCATGGTAAATCTGATAATGTTAATAAGACTACTAAACTACCTACAATACCAAAGACAGTCCAAAATGCAGCTGAACGTTGATTTTTTGTTGGATCAATATCAGCTACAAAAGAATTTGAGAAAAAAAGTTTTTTTTAAATTTGTTTTTATATTTTTTTTTCTTATTACATACGTGTTTCACAGTTTGATCCAATGAAAAATACATCTGAACAATCACAAGTATAATTATTAAGACCGTCAATACATTTTCCTCCATGTTGACAAGGCGTTGATAAACATTCATCGATTTGCTCGTCACATATTGTTCCAGTAAATCCTGCTGCACAAATACAAAGCTCTCGGCCAACATTTAAATAACATGTGGCATTATTCTGACATGAATTATTGGTTCCACATGTATCTATAATTAATTTCAAGAATTTTGAATTTCAAATAAGTAAACTAACCTTGATATTCACAAATAAAGGGTAACAGTTTATTATTGATATTTTCAATTATTGTATAAGAATTATGAATTGTATCATAGAAAATTTGATAATTCGATCCATTATTATTAATTGTTATATCACTTGAATTGAAATACCATGTTATCGGTTGACCTGACCAATTCCATGATGATGAAGAGACGGTACCATCAATCCAAAATGAACCCTGAATACCCCAAGCTAAATGTTAACAAAAAGTGAAAGCAATCATTTTAGAGGGAAAAACATGGGATTATAAAGTTAATAAGAACCTTTCATCCAAAAAGTTAAAGATTTTGTTTCAGTTGCTGATTCGAATGCGAGCAAATGAGTAACACTGCCTGTTTTATTGATTCCTAATCGATTTGTATCATTAATACAATATTGTCGAGCATCAGACCATGCCAAATCTGTACCATTATTTGTTTTATAACATCCATTAAATATTGAATTGTATGAAGATGGGCAAACAATAGTTTCACATATGTTAAATAAAATCAATAAAATATTGCCGGTTGCGATAAAAGACTAAATAGGCAAGAACAATTTAGAATTTGTTTTCTAATTAAATAAAGAACTTACTAAGAAGGACATTTTTCGTGAGTATACTTTCACTTCAATAGGTATAAGATATATTAAATAGAAATATAAACAAAAAAACTAATTAATGATGAAGAAGAATAAGTAGAATGAATAGTTAGTAGGTGTTTGATCTCCCTTGCTGGCGACGTGAATATGTGTGCGCACGTCCCAAGACTGAACGGAAATGAATAATAAAATAGATGACAAATTGTGTAGGTGCGTTTTCTTTTTCTCTTTTTTTTTACACTTAAGCAAAAGAAAGTGGCGAAGTGGAAGAAACGAGTTTTCCTTCTTGCTCTTTTTCTATTGTCAATTGATTCGATTTATTTGCGTGCTGTTAGTAACGAGCGAAAAAAAAGTAGATAATATTCTTTTTAATTTCAATTATATCGCCGTAAAGCAAATAGGAAAAAAGCATTAAAACAATATCTGTATTCAACCATTCCACTATTCTGACAGTCATCAAAGATTGTTGAAAGCAAAATAAATTATATTTGAAAATTTAATGTAAAAGTGTTATTCTGTCTTATGAATATTACACTCTTGAAAATAATATTTATGTGAATTAGAGAAAAAAAAAGAAAACTAGCTAGTTTGAAGAATAAAATTTCAATTTTACAAATGTAAATTAAGGACAAAAATATTTAATGCATTTGCATTTGGAAGCGTTTCCTTAATAGTAATAGCAATGACGTATTAGAAAAGAAAATATGCGACATTTGAATGATATCCTACCAGAAAGAATGCTTTTTCTGGTTTGCCATTAAAACTATCGAAGAAATAGTTCCCACGAAGACATTTTTTGAATAAATTAATTTTGATAATACCAAAAAAATTGTTATTAAACTGAGGTACTCTCTATCAAATTATGTAACAATCATTGTTCGAAAGTTTTACAGTTCACGATTTGCTTCAGATGGAGCATCGTTCAATGAAGAAATGTTATCAAGAGTTCTAGAACATATTAATATCCTCCAGAATTTTTATACTATGAAATGAGGTTGTTTGTAGAACCTGCCCAATCGAGTTCAAAAGATAGTTGTTTAAGAGCCATAGTTTTACCAAGGAGAATCATGTAAAACTACTAAAATCAAAAGTGACCCAGTACTTCTTGTGTTAGAAAATTTATTCAAGTCAGTTTACTATCTTACTATTCAAGCTAGCTATTACTGCTAATATAATAGTTAGGAAATAGCATAAAACTTAACTTTTTGTTTTTAATTTATCAAATTTCTTGACTGGTTTTATACAGAATAATTGAAATGGTTGTTTCGTACTATCATTCTCCTACAAAACAATGAATCGAGAGAATACTATCTACTGGAATCGACTGGAATGGAATCATCTAGCTAGTAAATGATATTCGATATGAGTTGAAATGATAACATTAGTTTTTAATTTAACAACTGATAAAAGTCAAAATATTTCAAATTCATAAAGTTGAGAAAGAATGAATGAAAAATACTATTGTGTTTAATAATATTTTGATGATTAAAACAAACAATTCATGATGTTAAAAATTTTAAAAGCAAATCTTTTTTCATATTATATTTTGCCATTTTTAGTTCTACCTTCTAGTTTTCAATAATTTATTCTTTAGTCTAGTAATTGTGATTAATAATTTTTCGAAATACTGATATTTTTTCAATGAACAATGTATACATATATATTCCACTATAGGTTGTACAAATGATAATAGACAGATATTTTGATGAACATGTGCTATATGTTTTATTGTTTCATACTTTTTCTGATAGAATTAATAATAAATAGGATTTTTCCATAGAACTATCTATCGAAAGCTATAAAATGAATAAATTGATTGAAACTAGTAAGAAAAGGATTTTATAAGTTATACCATGTTTTCGAACGTGCATAGTAATTCAGATACATATCTTCCTATCAATAAATGTAACGAGCTTCAATCCTCGAGAAAGGGTCGAATTGACTTTCTCCTTATGCTAGAGAAGCGTTCTAGCTATCGCAGTGAAAAATAAATCTTTAATCAGCCTCTTTTTCAACTATCGATCGCCAATTCAATAGTCTTACTGTACTTTATTCTCGTTTTAAATAGCATGACTATATTTCTTTATGCTTGTATTCCTTTTCCAGATGCATATGCTCGATCATCTATTTCAATAACATTTCATTTATAATTTTCTAACGGTAGAGTTATCAAAATATATATGAGCTGCTCTGGCTTTTTTTAATTACAGAATTCATTAAAAGTTGAAAGAAATATTGAAAAGAATATTGATAATAAAATTAATATTTCTTAGTGATTTTAAAACACATGACACATATATCTGACATTAGTATTGAGGTCAACTAAAAAATATCATCTACGGAGAAGATTAATAATTGAGCTCTTTTTGAGACATGAACTAAACACGAATGTTGAAACATAGAAATAGAGCCTCGGATCCATTTTCCTTCAATTATCTTGAGAATTTTCTTATTGACAGTGTGTATAAGAATTGTATGTAACAATATTTAGAATCAACATACTGTCTGATAGTAGAAGTATATAGCAATTTAACTGGACATGTATGATATTTTATTTTAGTTAAAAAGAAATCTATTCGACAATAATTGGTTTTCCTTTCATAAAACTTAACTTTGTTTAAGATTAGATAAACATTTTAAAAAAACATCATGAACAAGACAAATCTCAAAATAAGACTAAAAACGAAAAATTATGATATGGTTATTTTTGTACCAATGAAACACCTTTAAAACCAGTTTTTTGTGTCATATTGATCTTGTCACCCCTAAAAAGAATATTATTTTTTTTAAATATATTTTTATCGATAATATTAAACTAAAAACTTACATAGACAATGCCATGCCCTGACTTTTAGCTCGAATACGAATATGTCCAGTAACGGGTGCATCAGCATGTATAGCCGATTTTTCTATACTAACATTAGCTAAAACGTCTTCACCAAATATTGATTTGGCATAGAGATTTGCTGCCATAAATCCACAATCACCCGATAAAGCTTTTTCTGGTGTTAAACAACGCATATTTGTTGATTTTAGTAAATAACTCAAATAAAGATGAAGATCACGTATCGTTGTGTTAACAACAATTTTATTTTCCCATTCAAATTCAATCCACATTTGACGAAATTCATTGTCTGTACAAGAACTAGGTACAATATAATCCATTATATCAATATGTATATCATTTAATACAACACAATTACGATCTGATTGAGAACCAGTTATATCATAAACAATATTTCCAAAGATAATACCATTTTCTGTTGATGTTACTTTTATATTTGCTTTTATATTTGTAAAATCATGTGGTGCCATTGTTATTGATTGGGGCTTTTCAACTAATTTCAAATCACCAAGTGTGGCTAATTCAACTGTGAGATTCTGTAATGTATCTGATGTTTGATTAACTAAAAAAGTTAAATAAAAAATGATTACTAGGTCATCTGATTTATCAGAATATCGAATGAATTTTAATTAAGTTTGATTTACTGTTATTAGATACTTTTTTTTTATTTTCCCATCAAAATTCGCATTAGATTCAACTTCTTGTTGGAATCAAATTCTACATGAATGAATCAATATTAACATCTCAACTTTCATGATATTGCTGATTGAGAGATATAAATTTTAAGAGCTTTTTTTCATATAAAAAACTATTAGGATAGATCGTCTGAAAATACTTATCAGTACAGTCAATTTAGCATCCACACCCTACGAATCATTTGTATTATTTTACACGTCCGCCATTATTTACAGCAGGCCTCAATGCACTATTGTGTGTTATGAGAAACTTGGAAATCTTGATCTGGATTATTTCCAAAATTAAGTTTTAATTAGTTTAAAATTTTCATATTGATCATATGATCAATATGACAAATAAACACAATACTACTCTATCCTGTTTTTTGAATCTTTCATTTAGTTATTTATCGATAGAAAATTAAGCAATTTTAGTATATAGAATATATACAAACATATTCCAAATATGTCATTTTCAAACACAACTTTTGAATATTGCCGATTAAGCGAAGTCTTATGGCTTATTTGCTGAGACATTTTGAAAAGTAAACCCAACACTTAATGTCATTGGTTGCTGATGTCCAGATAGAACTAGTTACAAAGAACTCTATTTAAACTTATACTTACGACTGTCTTCAAAAATCAATGGGATTTCACAAAATGCACTAAAAATCATGTTACAAGAAGAACAACCAATGAGAATTAAATGGTTGTCTTTAGACTCTCTTGTTTTGATAGTATTCATTACATGCAACTCAAGTGAAGATCAATTTATCATTTTGTAAGAATATCTCTTAACTTTCTATCAGATGTTTTAATTGTCTTACGATATAGAACGGGATAAAAAAAACTTCGCATTATTGATTACTTATGATAGAAAATACAATTCTCTTATTGTGAAGATAGATTAATTAATTAGATTGAAACAAAACTAAAACTTAATTTTATCTTATTTTCTGAGAAATAATTAATTTTTCAATTTACAATTACTTACCAATGAGTACGTCAAGGACAATATCATATTGATTAACATTAACATAAGCTTCAGCATAAACTGGATCACTAAAACCTGTTAACTGTGTAACTTTACTAAGCTTTGATGAACTAAATATATTGTCGTCTTTTTTTCCAATTGTTCCAATAGCTTGTTTAAGTGTAAAATCCAATATATCTTCTTTTTCATCGAATTCATTTGCTGCCAATAATTGTGTGAAACGTATTGGATCATCTGGTTCGATGGTTGCTGCCTTCAATTGAGAGGGACAAAAAGCAAAATTTTCATTTTTCTAATTTCGAAACAAAAAATTCTATATACCTTTTCTTTGGATAATTTCTTTTCAATATCTTTCTGCTCTTGAGCTTTAATAGTTAACATATCTGCGAGTGATGTTCGACAATCTTGTCCAAATATTTGAAATGTTATCGGTAATCGTTCATTTAATAATCTAATGCACATTAACATACGATCGAAATCATCTTCATTCATT